TCTGTGTCATGGATGACACCCTCAGCCATGTTGACAGCCTCCACACGTTCCTACAACAGTTTAAAACACAGTGAGCTTCCACTCATCACACCCAGTTTAATCCACTTCATTGTTTGGAGCCTTTACTTTTCTCCTCCTGTCCTCTTCTGCATATTTCTCAGCATTCTTGATCATGTTCTCAATGTCGTCCTTACTGAGGCCTCCCGATGACTGAATCACAACTGAGGAGGAGGAAGAAAAGAGGTGTTTATACAAGTAGCAGTAGTCTCATTTGTAGCTATCAATGACAATGCCCAAGCCAAAAGAAAGAAATAACATGATTAAGAAAAACCCTTAAAATGTGGCTCTGAAATTTTTATTAAAGCTAAAGGTTCAGTGTTCATTTATTGAACAACATTTTGCTGCCAAGTGTATTGAGAATTTTACAAGAAAGCACTGAAATGTTTGGTCCTAAGCGACAAATAAATGCTAGCATTCACAATTCATTCTTTCCGCAAATCAAACAATCTGATAAGACATCATGGATAAATTAAGCATGCGAATAAAAACATGAATAAAATGGACTCCACTACCTGACCTACTACACACAAAAAGAAAACTATGTAGGAAAAAAGCTTGGGTACTAGTATGAACTAGTATTCTAACCTAATTTAGAAGCTTACAGAGATGATCAAAAAAACTAATTCCAAATACTTTTAAACGTACTGCACAACCCATGAGTAGTACTTCACTCCCTCATACTCGTGGCTGATACTCACTCTGCTGTTCACGACCTGTGCCCTTATCCTTGGCAGAGACGTGGACGATGCCGTTGGCATCAATGTCAAAGGTGACCTCTATCTGAGGAACTCCGCGGGGGGCAGGGGGGATTCCGACCAGCGTGAACTGACCCAGCACCTTGTTGTCAGTCGCCATCTCTCTCTCGCCCTGACACACCTTGATCTCTACCTGAGTCTGTCCATCAGCTGCAGTGGAGAACACCTGCAGAGGAGCAGAGTAGCACCTTAGGACATCTGGTGCTTATGTTTTTCAAACTGCCAGGACCTTTTAACAATACTAGGATGGAGTGTAGTCCTGGTGTTCATACCTGGCTCTTCTTGGTGGGGATTGTGGTGTTCCTGTTGATCAGTTTGGTGAAGACTCCACCCAGGGTCTCAATACCCAGCGACAGTGGGGTCACATCCAACAGCAGCACATCAGTGACATCGCCGGCCAAGACACCACCCTGGATGGCTGCTCCTATAGCAACTGCTTCATCAGGATTGACAGACTTACTTGGAGCACGGCCAAACATGTCCTGAACAGTCTGTTGAACCTACAGTGGATCAAGTTGTACTTCTATTTTAGTCATTCCAAAAAACAAAACAAACAAACAAAAAAGTAACAAAAATCTTGCTTTTAGCCAATCAGCACTTAAATTATGAACAGAGCATCTCTTCTTATGCTACTCAGTCTTGCAATCTTGCAGAGACCTGCTAAAATATTATCCACAGTAACTGTACTGCCAGTTTTGGTCAGCAGATGTCACACTCTTCACAAAGCTGACTGCATTATATCATACTCTACAATGACTCTTCACTAGGAATTAACTTGATTTTCCAGGCTAAATTAATGTGTTGTGATGTTAAGCTGCTCCCAGAAACCCCTGTGACCTCATCTCCTATTGAAGCACTGGTAGATTGTCGTCCCCTTGTCTATCATCTTCACTGAATACAAATATCTATGGAAATAAGCCTCGTAATTTGTTGGCAATCTGGACATTAATACCCCACTTAACCTAATGCAAAATAAATAAGACTAAAAACATTATTGGGCCCAGTAGGCTTCAGGATAGTGTGCACGTTATGTACCTTGGGCATGCGAGTCATGCCTCCGACCAGCAACACCTCTCCGATGTCTCCCTTGGACACCTCAGCATCCTGCATGGCCTTCTGACAGGGAGCCACAGTGCGGTGGATCAGGTTGGCCACGATGCCCTCGAACTGTGCACGAGACAGCTTCATGTTGAGGTGTTTGGGACCAGAGGCGTCCATGGTAAGGTAGGGAAGGTTGATGTCAGTCTGGGATAGAGAGCAGACATTATGTGATCACCACTCTAGAAGAGAGCCTTCTGCAGTAAAGCACATCACCATTGTAACATTAACAGAATCAGTCCGAGACACACACGGTCTGCACAGCTGACAGGTAACTGGGCCATTGGTATAAAGCTAAACATGATCTCAACTAAGTGACACAGTTTAACTATGTTCTGATGAAGCTGGTGTTTGAGGGTGAAAATTCCCTTTTCTCCCCGAGTTATATTGGTCATAAAGGTGTGTTGACCCGATCCCTGCTTAGTCCTACATGTTTAACTGCACAAGGTCATCTGTATCGTCCATGTACCTGCAGTGACGAGGACAGCTCACACTTGGCCTTCTCAGCAGCCTCTCGGACTCTCTGAAGAGCCATGTTGTCTTTCATCAGATCCACACCAGACTGGAGTGACAAGAAGTAAGACCACACATGAAAACCTTTAAAACAGACTGAATTCTAGATGAGAAATAGAGGCTTAACCCATGTACCTCTCTCTTGAACTCCTTGACAATGTGTTGGAGGAGTTGCTGGTCAAAGTCCTCTCCTCCCAAGAAGGTGTCTCCATTGGTGGACTTCACCTCGAAAACTCCTTTCTGGATCTCCAGGACTGAGATATCAAACGTACCTCCACCAAGATCATACACAGCGATACTGACAAGAGCCACAAGAATACAGGTTTTAACATGGGTCAGTGACCAAGAACCATTTACTAAGTTGTCTAATCAATTCTTTGTCCCCATGTTTCAGTACAAATTCGTAGGTCTGCCTATTCGATCTGTTCTTCTCTACTCACATCTTATCCTGGGTCTTGTCCAGGCCATAGGCGAGAGCAGCAGCTGTTGGCTCGTTGATCACACGCAGGACATTCAGACCGGCGATCTGACCAGCATCTTTGGTAGCCTGAGAATCAAAGAAATGGTACGCTTTATAAACATAGTGAGGTCTCACCTTCAACACACCAGACACTGCTCATCACAAATACCAACATCAAGCCTCTTGTGCTTGCATTTTGGTTATTACCCATATAATAAGAGCTCAAAAGTAAGTCGGGACCCAGTAAGAATAGGTTCATATTTTATGGTTAAAGACATGTCAGCTAGACTAGTGGAAAAATCAGGTTTCTAAAGCTCAAAGTGGTCAACTCTGGGAATTATATTGATTTCAAAAGCAGCAGGGGAAAGTCAAAGAGCGGCTTTACTCACTCTGCTACCAATACTAACGTGCAGCATGGCTGCACAGCACAACCTTACATGAGTCCACTAAGCACAAACACATACTGGCTGCAAATAAATTATGGTCAATGTCTAAGCAAAGATGCCCAGACTTCCCTCCAGCTCCTCCGGGGGGATACCGAGGCGTTCCCAGGCCAGCCGAGAGACATAGTCCCTCCAGCGTGTCCTGGGTCTTCCCCGGGGCCTCCTCCCGGTGGGACATGCCCGGAACACCTCCCTAGGAAGGCGCCCAGGAGGCATCCGAAACAGATGCCCGAGCCACCTTTGAATACAGCCCTCAAATTTCAAATCAAAAGGTTTCCTGTGGCATTTTCTTGAAAACACTGTTTACATTCTGTGGTCCCCATCATAACACTTTGTTGGACCACAAAGACACACAAACATGCTAAATGTGTTTCCTTCCTCCTTAAATATATATGTATATAAAACATAGTGTGATCATATTTTTGGGCACACTTCCTGCCTTTGTTAGAGTAAGGGCTAAGTTAGCAATCGTGCTCATAACTATACTGCATGTACTGAACCTGGCATTGCCGTACTCACACAGTGATTGAAACCTGTTTACATACTGCCACTGTGGGGACTCGCCCAAGTAAACCACTGAATGTCTTAGTGACATTTTTGTTCAAGGTTAAGGATAGGCAAGTAGTGTTAGGGTAAGTGTCCAGGAAATCTATGTACATCAGTGTCAAGACCTCATGAATGAAAACACACGTGTGTGTGTGTGTGTGTGTGTGTGTATATATACCTGTCTCTGAGAATCATTGAAGTAGGCTGGTACAGTGATGACAGCGTTCTTCACTTTGGTTCCTATGTAGCTCTCTGAAACCCAAACACCAGATTATTACCACAACTAGAGCTCACATGTGGAACGTAAATGTCGAAGAAGATTTATCCAGTGTAACTGCAATCACACCTGCAGTCTCCTTCATCTTCATGAGTACGAAGGCTCCGGCCTGGCTGGGGGAATACATTTTCCCATGAACCTCTACCCAAGCATCACCATTAGATGCACGTACAATCTTGTAGGGCACATTCTTCCTGATAATGAAAAGAAAGTTCATATTTATTCAGAGATCCATAATTAACACACTGTTGACAGTATACCGTTGAGTATGTGGGTAAATGTGACATCTCTGGGATGTAAATGTTAAAACAATTCTTAAACATTCCTTCTAAAATTTGTATATGCACTAATGTGGAATATTTTAAGTAACTAGTCCAAGATATGCTCACAGGTCTTTCTGGACCTCGGGGTCATCAAAGCGACGTCCGATCAGTCTCTTTGTGGCATACAGTGTGTTCTGAGGGTTGGTGACGGCCTGGCGTTTAGCAGGTATGCCCACAAGACGCTCGCCATCTGCTGTGAAAGCGATGACTGAAGGAGTTGTCCGCGCTCCCTCTGCATTCTCCAGAACCTGACAGGCAAAGATGAAGTATGTGGTTTGTTCTCCTTTACTAATTATTTACTGACCAGTCAGACTACAAAAACAAAAAACTTCCAAAGGATGCTGCTGTAAACTCCCGTTCTCCTAACTATAGAAATTGCAAAACTGTTTCCACGTCAATGCAGCATGCTGTTGTGTTTCTGTGTCACTGAACAACAGGTCAAAATAATCCATACACACAGAATAGCCACTGTGTTAGCACACCTGTAAAATCTAATGCAACATACAATACACCAATGTGCAATTTAACTTCTGCCATAATGTCTACGTTTACAAAAACAATGTTGGTTTTGACTGATGCTGTCAGAAAGGTATTAATAGAGCACTTAGCATTTGCAGTAGTGTTTAGCTGGACCATATTACAATGATCGATGCTTCTTTTTTGCCTAACCTGAATATCTGTGTGTGTCTGCTTGTCGTTACCTTGGCCTGTTTCCCCTCCATGACAGCAACACAAGAGTTGGTAGTTCCCAGGTCAATGCCAATGACTGCACCCTTGACAGCTTCTGACCTGCAACACAAATGCATATTATATGCATATTTTTGACAAGGACATTTGAAAAATCAACAGCTATAATGTTTAATTCATCTTCAAAGGACTTTTTTTCATACTTTATATCTATAACTGTACTTAAACACTACTGCCTACTTACAAACACCATCATACTAAGTGGACTGTGGATTGGAACTGCCCAGATGCATCATACAGATTTACTCTGATATAAATCCACTACTATTCACTGTTAAACACTAATATCTATTTTGAAACTATATTTTCAGCTGACACTTCAAGTCACTTTACATATTTTTGAGCTGACACTTACGCATAGTCTCTTCTGGACAGAGCTCTGAGAACATCTGGCTGGAAACCACTCCGGCAACCCTATGAATACATCACAGATCAGTTACACAACTGTTACCAAATGTCTTTCAGCAATAACCTAATCAAATAATTATGGTTGTATTGGTTCTATCATTTTTATTAAAGTCACAAAATGAATTTTACACAACATGACCCTGCAACAAAGGTTTAAGAGCTCTAGAGCAGCCCAGTAGATAATGAAATGTAGAAAATAAATGAAAATAGAAAACAAATGTGCCATAAATTTAAAAATAAAAAGGTACAATACTTAGATAACAAACTGACAAGTCTATTTATTTATATAACAAGATATTAAAGATGTTAAGAAGCTACAAAACGTCATGGCCGAGGAGTGGGACTCAATGAAGGTCACTGATTGACTGATCTGCTAATGTTACAACCTGGGAAAGAGCAAAGCAGTACTAACTTGCATACTTAGGTGAAAAACTAACACAGCTTTACTTTACATGCAATATAGTACGTAGTTTTGCCACGTGGATGAAAGACGTCAAATATATGCTAATATGGTTTAGCTTGGCCCCTTAAAAACCAAATAACTCCTTCACAGCAAAATCACCATGATCAGACAGTGACGATGCTATTTTGCGTAACACCACTCAACGCGAGCATTAAATCTGCCAGTAACACTGGTCGCTTCTTGATTGCTAACAACCACGGTATAATATTTTGATAGTCACGATTAACTTAGTTGGCTTCAAGCTAATTATTAGCATGCTAAGCTAACCGGACATATAACCTTCTTTGTCAAGTCTTACAATAAAGTTCAACATCATGCATATGTAACACAGCAACGTGAGTGCGTTTGAAACTCGCCTTTTTGATTAAACAGGACATTTTCATTGTACAGGTCCTTGTCGGAAGAGTCCTTGAAACGTTTCTGACGACACTCAACATTTTGACAAATCGGCTAACGGGCTAACTGATGTTAATAAATTGTGCGCAGCGTTTAATTGCAAAATACACCCCCACACTGTTTAGGAGCGACAAATAGTTAAAAGATGTAAAAAATATTTCCAGGTGTCTTCAGACTGTCAAACGACTTGCCCAGGGGAAAAGCTAGGAGGTCCAACAGCACAGATCCTCTAACAGCAAAGAAACTGCGTGCGGAGCTTCTTCTGGAATCATCCAACACATGTTGCACCATACACAGCTGAAAGACCCCGTATCGGGTTGCTCATGTAGTGCCTGAATGCTTTTTAGCGGTTTAAAAAATATATATACCATTGTCTGTGAATTTCCATAAGTATTTTATTATTGAATCGATATACATAGGACTATTTTAGTTTAGAATATATAAACTTTGAAAATGTACTCTATTTTTGTACCTTGCTGTAAAATGCACAGAATAGGGCAGACACACAACAGTGGGCTTGTGAAGGTCATGATGTAAGGAGGGCTACGCTGGGGTTTTTCACGTGTGTTGCATCAGTGATTCTGAATGAGCCTATATGCTGAACATACTGTTGTCAATGCATAAAACTGGTATGAATGCATAATACGTCAAAACGTAGTGGTTAATACACATAGTGTTTACCCACAACGTCTATTTTAATGCCAGCTTTTTTCACCAAATTTTATCATAGTTATTAAGTTGAAGTGGAAGCTAGGTTGATTTACGTTCATTGACTATTCAGATTTAATTAATGAGGAAGGTTTCATACTTTTCTTAGACTATTATAAGTCATTTGATTGTATTGAGCACAAATGTATTTTCTCTACCCTTGAAGCATTTGGATTTGGGTCTTCTGCGAATTTATTGAAACATTATATTCTAAAGCAAACTGCTCTGTTAAACTGTGCAATGATACTTCTAGGTTTGAGATTAACAGGGGGTTAAGACAAGGATGTCCAGTCTCTGTATTATCAATTTTTGCTAGCTGGTCAACTTTTATATTGCCATATCCAAAGCAGTATGCTAAAAGAAATTTCTGTAGCTGGTTGAAAACTTAAGATCAGTCAGGTAGCAGATGATACCACACTGTTCCTTACAGACGCCTCTCAGATGCCTGTAGGCTTAAGTATTTTTGATCTATTCTCCAAAGCTTCAGGTCTGTCTTAATTTAAAAAAATTGCAAACTTTTGTCTATCAAAAACTCTAAATTAAGTGCAATTTGTAACATCGCTATAAGATCTCCTACTTAGGTGTTATTGTTTTCAAGGATTGTGTTCTAGATGCAGTGATAACATTAAGCCTATAATTGAAAGAATATACAACAAATTAAATATGTGGCTCCAAAGAGATCTGTCACTGAAAGGCAAAACTCTCTTAGCCAAAGCAGAAGGTTTGTCAAGACTTATTTATGCTGCAGTGTCTCTCAATATTAATGATCAAATCTCTAAAACTGTTGATGGTATTCTGTTTAATTTCCTGTGGAATAACAGAACACTATGTAAAGAAGTCTGTTGTAATGAACACGTATGACAAAGGAGGGCTTAACTTTCTTGATTTTCACACTCTTAACAATCCTTTTCAAATGGCTGAGAAAATATCTTAAAACCCAACTTCAATTTGGAATTTTATTTCTGAACGTGTGTTTTCTTACTTGGGAGGTTTGAAACTTATTCTGATGTGTATAGACAGAATTCCTGTAAAACTATCCTTCTCATAAGCAATGTTTCATAAGCAATGTTTGGTAGCCTGGTCCAGATTTACAAACACATTTAACCAGTACATTTTATATAAGAATAGATCTATATTGTTCAAACATTGGCTTAATAATGATATTGTGATTGTAAGTCCGATTTTCAGTGATCAAGGATTGCTCTTTACTTATCAGGATTTTTTTTGTCATTATAAGATCCCAGTTACTCCCAAAGATTTTGCTACTGTGTTTGGTGCTATTCCCTCTAGCACACTAATGTTATTCAAAGCTTGTCCCCATCCAAATATTGATACAGCCGTGTGCTCAACTGGGAAAATGTGTTTTTCAGCAAAGAACAATAAAAATATTCACTCTTTATTTCAAAAGAAAATTGCTTCTCTCCCTAGTGCTACCAGTTACTGGAGTAGATATACAGATGGCATTAACTGGACTAAAGTATGGTTTCTACCTCAGAAATACTTTGTGCTGTATTGGAAGGAGATATTGATCATGTCGCATTTTCTGCTAACGTTGCCAGTTTCTTTAGTGTGATTGCTAAACTGTTGCTGTCCACATATTCAATGTGTGCTGAACCAATTTACATGTGCTTTCATGATAGTAAATGCAGGAGCCAGTCATGTGCAATGTCTCTGATGTGGCACTTCTCAAATCTGAGACAGCTGATTTATCAACACGTGTGCTTTCAGATGCATCAGGGCTTGCATGGACGGTAGCAAACACGTCTTGTACAGGATTAAAGCAGCTGTGGACAACATATAACATTCACTCATATTCTTTCATGGATCAGTGCAGATGGCTTTCTGCTGCTCCTGAGATGCACTGCATGGTTGGATGTGGAGCATCTAATTAAAATGGCTCATTTACATTTCCCAGTTTTGTTTTGTAGTCGCTGAATGTTACGCGCATGTGATGAGCTTGCCCCTGTCAACATAATCATACAGTCACATTACTTACAGCCCCTCCACTAAAACAGAGATGGTTCAGCCAGCTGAAGTGGTAACTTCAGCTTCACGGAGGTGAGTTTTTATTGCATTGTGTTTACAGGCAACGGACTCAGAACAGAACCTAGGAAGACTGCAGCAATGATGGGTCATGTGTGTACGCATGAGAAGGACTAATAATCCCGCCAGGAGAATTATTTGTTTTTAAAGCTCTGAATAATCTTGCACCATTATATTTCAGAGCTCTTAATATTTTTTCTTCCTTTCTTTATTGTTTTTGTGCAGCACTTTGTAACTAATGTTTAGAAAAGTGCTACATAAATAAACTGCTTTGCACTGAATATGTGCTTGTTTATGTGTGGTTGGGACAGATATGGAAGAAGGGAAAATTTATGTAGGAGGATTAAGGGAAATTCCTTTTAGTTAATCAGAAGCAATAATTAAAAACAGGATGATTAGGGAATGGCAGAGGCATTGGCATAGTGGGATAACAGGTCGACACTTACATGCAATACAGAACGATGTGGGAGACATAAGGATAACTGGAAGAAATAGAGATGAAAAAGTTATAACTAGGCTGAGACTGGGGCTCACAAAACTTCATAAGACTTTGCATTTGATAGAAAAAACATCCAACTGGTCTGTGTGACTATTGAAACTGAAATGTTTTATGTGAGTGTCGGAAATATAATGTAGAGAGAGAAACTTTAAAAGGGCAGTTTACAGAAAGGGGTAGAACTGACTCTTTTGTGTCAGTGGAGTAAGTTAAGGTGGGTTTTTTTCCTATTCGGGTCGACACTCCAACATGTTAGGAGGCGGTAATGCATCGTCAAGTTGGTTGCCACCCGCATTAAAGAAGAGGAAGAAGAAGAGAAAAGAAAAGCTAAGCTAAGCTAAACTAAGCTAAGCTGAGGAAAGGTTCCGGTTAAGGATTACATCCGGAGTGTTAGAGTCACTTACGGAGACAATTTAACCTACGTAGGTGAGTTGCCCGCTAATTAGAAAGACTGTGTGTTCACGTAAAAACCATGATGTAGCATGTAACGTGAGTTTGAGTCCTCTATGTGGTGCATTTCACAATTTGGCTAGCGTTAGCATTGGCTAGCCTGTGGCTGCGGTGTTTGCACAGCCGTCTATTTAAACCTAGGTGTAGCTGCCGGCACCACAGTAAAAGAGAGATAACTGACTGTTAGTAATAGTGATGCCAGATATTTGGCTTTATTAAATAATCGGCATCCGCCAATGTCTGCACTCATGAGGCCGATTATTTTATTTTATTTACAAAGTTGACTTTTTGATCACTTGTGGACTTTGAAATAATATGGGCATTGCAGAGTGTAGCAAACGGAGACTTTTCATTTTTAAATACCTGTAATAATTCTAATATTCTCAGTCATTTGTGTTAAATGTACTCTGTTAAAAGTTCAGCAAATTTGCATCTTTCTTATTAATAATTTGCTGTATTTTATGTGATGCAAGAGGGAAAAACCCATTTAAAAAAACCATGAAGTCTGCATTATATTTCTGTTCATTCGCCTTCCTGCTTTCTAAAGATCGCCACTGGTCATTGAAAACTCCATCTCCATCCAAGCTTTCTAATACACAGATAGTTAGGGCTATAAATGTCTAAGAATGTTTTTGCATACATGCTTCAAGAGTTCATGAATCATCTCTGCAAATCTCGCTTTCCCCCATATGTAACGTGTTTCTCCTTGCAGTTCCAGATGATGGTCATCCTGTATTCTGGAACCTTTGCAGCTGTCTGTATAAACATGCTGGTTTGTCCATCCTCAGGCTCCTCTCACTGTGTTTGAGTATACAGTGGCACGGGTTAAATACAGAGATGGCTGATGCTACTAGTCCCAGCAACATTAATCAGCAGGTACATGCATGTTGAGCACTTTAACTTTGGAGCAGTTTTTGAATCAACTTTTGGTGTTTCTGTGTGTCTTTTGAGCAACCACATAAAGTAAGTTAAATATGATGGTGGGATATCAAGAAAGATTTTAGAGGGATTTTCTTCTTGGTAAAAAAAAACAACTCTATTCCAGGACATTCAGTGGTTTAGTAGAAATGCTGTGTTAAATCCTGGACATTCCAGAGGCTGCCACCTGGTGTGTCCCCATGAAGCTTGTTTTGTGTTGTATGCATGAAAGCAAATGGAGGTTAACTTTGCAAGAAGAAATATTTTATTTGACTAAAATATTTCTTTTCCTCCTTGAGGTCTGGTGTCTATTAGCATGTTTCATTTAAGAGCTATTTCTGAACACAGTGTATCAGTCTTAAGTAAATATAATGCTGTTTACATGAAATCAAACATCTGTTTTCCAAATTTAAAAGCTTGTCACTGCTGATACCTAGAGAGCTTTTTCGGTTCCAAAAATGTGACTTTTAAACTGAGTTCTCTTTGTTTCTGTCTTCTTTCTTCTCCCTTTCTTCCTGTAACTTTTTTGTTTTTGCTTTGCTCAACAAATGACAAATGTAGTGGTAGTTTTGATTGGTTTTCACATAAGGTTTTGGAGACAGTCTAAACGGTGTATTTGAAAGCAAACTTAGCAGAGTTTTGTCCAGTTCATTCAGAAGCATCAACATAGCACCAGGTCAGTGACAGACTTTTCTGTCTGTAAATATGTTCCTCTCATTAGCTCATTGCTTACTTTAGGAACAAATGTTAATTTAACTCCTAAGCACGAATTAACTCGGAGTGTTGAAGAACAGGTTTTACAGTATATTATTTTTGTTTTTGTATGCCCATTGGTCAGTGTGTTACTGTTTTTGTATGCTTTAATTATTTCACTTGTACTGTACATTATAAATACAGTATGTAGTGATCAGATTAGTTCTATGCACTGTTGATAATCATGGTAGTTTTAAATACTATAATGATTTAAAATGTACCAACTACTGCTTTTATTTTTCAGATTGCGACTGATTTCCAAAACAACAAAGAGAGCTTTGTGCCAAGACTGAGATGGACTCCAGGTATCAAGGCAAGTCATCCATTAGGTCGCTGTATCAACACTGTAGAAATGTTTATTCTCACACTGGACTACACTTATTGGGATTGTGCTTATTTTAAATTACATATGTTACTTTTTTTTTAGATTAAAGACACAGATCTTGAAGATTCGAGTGAACTGTATGACTCTACATCGGGGAGCACTGATGAGTATGATTCAGATACCAGCTACGAGAGTGAAGACACTGATGCCAACCTTAAACCAAACTTAGGGGAAAATTGGCAGTTTGCTACCGATCTGTGGAATGAACCGTTCTCATTTAGCCCTCCTTTCTGTGACACCACCACATCAGACATGACTTTTGACAGGGGCACCATTACTTCTGAAGTCTGGGGAGCAGATGAATCTCGCTCACATCAGGACACTAATGACAGCATAGTTGTTAGTGTTTCTAAAAAAAAAAAAGGTAATAGAGTTTATGACAAGAGACATTATTGCTTGTATTGCAGTAAACCTTATGCCAAAATGGCAAGGCATTTAGAAACTGCACATGCAACAAAAGCTGATGTGGTTAAAGCTGTTGGCTTTCCAAAGGGTTCCAAGGAGAGGAAGAAAGCCCTAGATTATATTCGCAATAAAGGCAACTATGCTCACAATGCTGCTATTATGGAGGCAGGGAAGGGTGAACTAGTGCCATGTAAACGACCGCCTAAAGAAGCACAGGGGATCGATTTCATGCACTGTGCATACTGCCAAGGACTTTTTACAAGAAAGGTCCTGTGGCGACACATGCAAACTTGTAAACTTAAACCTGGATCAGTCGGCCCAAAACCAGGGAAGAACCGTGTTCAGTCCTTGTGTACGTACACGGCGCCTGTGCCCTTGAAAGTAAATCAACAACTGTGGAAAGTAATCAGTGCTATGAATCCTGACCCAGTCACAGATATAATAAAAAATGACAATGTCATTCTTGATCTTGGGCAGCACCTGTTGAACAAAGGCGGCATGTCAGCCAACAATCAGCTGTATGTACGAGAGAAGATGCGAGAAATGGGAAGACTGATTCACAGCGCCAGGCGAGTTACCACCTTACAAGCAATGGAGGATTTCATACATCCAGAGAAATACTCGGAGATCGTCAAAGCTGTCCAGATTACTTGTGGCTATGATGGTGACACTAAAAAGTTTGTGACTCCATCACTGGCAATTAAACTCGGGAATGCTTTGGTTAAAGTCAGCAAATTCTTAAAAGCTCAGGGTTTGATATCCAACAACAGGGAGCTTGTAAAGAATGCCAGTGAGTTTCAAGAAATCCACAATGAAAAGTGGAATGAGATGGTATCTGCAACAGCTCTGAGGAACATCGCGGAAGCCAAGTGGAATGTGCCAACCTTAATGCCCTTCACTGAGGATGTTCAAAAGATGCATCATTTTCTTGGTCAGATGCAAGATGAGTGCAGCAATGCACTATCTAAAAGTCCTTCTGTAAAAGCTTGGATAGACCTGACCAAGGTGTGTTTAACACAGACCATCCTCTTTAATCGGTGCAGGGAAGTACACGTGGAAAGTATGCCCTTGTCTGCATTTTTGTCAAGAGATAGCTCTGATTCCCACCAGGATGTGGACTGGGCCCTCACTGAAGTGGAGAAACGGTTCTGCAGACATTTTACAAGGATTGTCATCAGAGGAAAGGAGGGTCGACCACTTCCAATTCTTCTGACTCCAAAAATGCTGTGTGCATTAGAGCTACTTGTTATGCACAGAGAGACTTGTGGGGTTCTGAAAGACAATAGTCACATGTTTGCAAGACCCAGAGCCATGACACATTTCCGTGGTTCAGAGTGCCTCCGTGGCGTTGCAAAGGCATGTGGTGCAAAGTGTCCCAAATCACTGACATCCACCAAACTACGAAAGCATGCTGCCACCATTTCAGCAGTGCTGAACATGACAGATGCAGAGATGGAGCAAGTGGCCAACTTTCTTGGTCATGACATTAGAATCCACGGTGAGTTGTATCAACTCCCTGAAAAAACACTACGACTTGCCAAACTCAGCAAGGTTCTAATGGCACTCGAGAGAGGAAGATTTGCTGAGTTCCATGGCAAGAACTTGGATGAAATCACAGTAGATCCAGACGGTATGCCCCCCCCCCATCATTGTTTTTCTATCCTTTTCATTTTCTTTTCAAACATTTATAAATTGTACTTCATGTTTCCTACAGAAAAAGTGCTGGTTTGTGATGAGGAAGATGGGAGCAGAAAGGAAGGACACTGTTCTTCTGTTGATGGTATTTAGTGTCAGTAATTTAATGTCTAGTAGAAATATTAGTTTGTTTATTAGATATTATTTACCAAAACAATATAGTTAATGGATACGTTTTATTGTTTGCTCTTTTTTTCTGTTTGTCTTCAAGATGTATCATTGTATATGTATACACATTTCTTCTGCTGCATTGTTGTTTGCCAGTAGTGTAATATACAAGCTTGGATTTCCTCTTAGTATCTTCTTTCATGGAAAGTCAGAGTCTGTAAAAACGCCTGCAGACTCACTTCCCCGCTGCAGTACCGTGAACCAGATTCTCATTCATCTAGTAGCGAGGCTCAGAGAATCCACTGGCACGAGTCTCCGTGATGATTTCGACCACATTAACAGTCAAATGCACCAGAGTGATAAGATCATATTTTTGAACGTTTAAAAATCAAAAGACAGCTGCATATGATGCAAGATTTGACCTTCGGCCCATCTGAATTGTTAACATACTGTATGTCAGGCTGTCACAGGGATTTGTCAGAATAAAGAGAGACGGCACATGTATTTCTGTTTAAATCAGCTCCCATAACCCAATTGTTTTTTAAAATTTCTAAACATTAAAAACAACTTGTTAAACAGTTTAAAATGAATTCACAGCATTGCCCGCTATGTAATAACTGACAGCTCCTCCTCTTCAACAGAACAGGCATACTTTAGTCCTCAAACATAAAAGCTAATAAATATAAACAAGGAAAAATGAGTTTAGGATGGGAATTATTTGTAGGTGAAAATAAAAACAGGGAGCTTTTTTAAATTTATTTTTTTTAATAAGATGTGTTATGGGAGAGGAAAACTAGTTTGTCCACATTGCTTGGGAGAAGTGAACTTTGGTTTTGTTGGTGATGAAGTGCACGTACGGTTTATCCTGCAGTGGGCGATGTTGCGCTGTCAGGCTAAAACTTTGCAAGCTATGGTCATGAAAGTATTAATTTAATGTTGTGTTAAATTTCTTATTGTTGTATTCCATCTAAATTAATTTCAGAATTTTGGGTTTAAAGTCTAACTCAGATTATTCTGACTAAATCAAAGATGTGTTTGAAGGCAGAATGCAGACTCTCTGGAGCACTTAGACATTTAATTAATACCTAATGGCAAAGCGTTCGTATGAGAAAATATGGGGATGCCACCGTTGACCTTATGGCACTCTTATCTGATACTTTAGACTGAATCTGTTTGAGTGATTCATTTTTATAAAGCCCAGTGTTTAGATCTGCTGCTGTGTCAGACCGGCTTTGCTGAACTAGCCTTGCTTCCAAGGACAGTGGTTACTTCGTGTAACTGACCTGAGAGAAAGAAAGACTGGACAAGAAAAAGAGGAACGAGAGAGAGAAGTAGATGTCGGATGTCAGGAAGGTGCACTGACTAACGCCTGTGCTTGGGTATTGGAGGGATGTGGTTTGCTGTACACCCATCACAGTTGGATTGATATTTGAGTCTTCTTGCCATTGATAGTTTCATAGTTATCATCAGCCACATCACCAATCAGTAAAGAATAAGTAGAACGATTTCTTGTTTTGTCCCTAATAGATATGTTGGCTGAGAGGAATGAAGTGCCGCCACCACCCAAGAGATGCAAACCACAATCAGCAGCGGATGAAGAATCTCCAGGAGTCAGTGCCGAGAAGCCCTCCACCAAAAGTGATTTTCTTTTTTTTTTTTACACATATTCTCTTATTTTTCTTTCGGTAATATTTGTGTCTGCTCTGTTTTTGTGATGTATTGTAGTCTAGGAGTTGAACTACAGCAGTAATATCAGAGACAGTCCATTTACAAAATAAATAATAACAGGGCCCAACCACTAGGTCCACATGGTTCTACAGTCTAAATGCAGGTTTTTAGTTTACTAACAATCAAGTATGCAACCAGAACTCGAGGCAGGGACAAACTGTGGATATTTTCAAGACTGAAGACTCAACATTAAACTTATTTAAAGATCTTACTTTGCTGCAGATATGCAGTTTGTTTATATACGGTCACCATAAGTGCCATCACTCTTGACTGTGTTTAAAGAGACAAAAGCCAACCACACCCATCGGTGGTGCTGGCTATGGTCAGAGCTGGAACAAACACGAGATGTCAAACTCTGGAGGTCAGCAGAATATTCTAGCACACACCCCCTTATCATTTTATTTACTGTTTTCTTTTTCTGCTCACCTGCAGGCAGACCTACCCAGAGGAGAACACCCTGGCAGCAGGCGGAAGTGCAGGCAGTGGAGAGGCACATGAGTCACTTCATCACTTCGTGTGTTGTACCAGCAAAGAGTGACTGTGAGAAATGCTTGCAGGCAGAACCAGAAGCTCTCAAGAACCGAGACTGGCAGAACGTGAAATTTTTTGTTTATAACCGCATTACAGCCTACAAAAGAAAAGTCCAGTTTAAATAGTGTGGAGATAACCAGTCAACAGGCTGGTATTACAGTTTACATTCTCTTTTAAAAGTTTCACATTCTTTACAGTTGTTTTTGCTTTTTTCTTTCTTTTTGTTATTATTTTACAGTTTGCTGTCAGGAGTGAAATGTGAGCAGGAGAGTAGGGCTGGCGCTCAAGTTTCATTTTCAGTTACGATTTTGGCAGTGATTATGAACATGATAACAAAGATAAAACCAAGATTGTCACATTCCATTTCACAACAATGCTCTCGTTTTGTCTTTTATAAATCCAGCACACTGATCTCTATTACTTATTTACATGACTGACTTATTTACAAGCATGAAACTGCTTTGTCAGCGCCCATCATTAGCATCCAAACACCCTCCTCCTCATCACTGCCAGGCTTTCACTGCTCCCTGATGTTCTTTTAGCATCCACCAGCGCTGCCGTCCCTGTTTTGAGTCCATCCAGTGCGCAGCTGACACTGGGTGAGAGGCAGGGTACACAGGTTGCCCGGCTGTCAGAGGGCTAACCAAGAGACAGACAACTACTCAGACTCACATTCACACTTGCAGGCTATTTACAGTCTCCAGTCCAGCAAACCTGAATGTCTTTGGACCTGTTATGAATCACTGTTAAATCGTTGTAATTTCAGTATTGACCAAAATCATTGTGAGTGTGATGATTTTTTTTTTTTTTTTTTGCCATAATCGAGCAGCCCAACAGCGACTAGGCAGGATTTTAGGGTTTTATCATAAAGGACTTTCACTGACTTCATCTGACTTCATTTACTCAGCACTGAGGTCTAATACACATCAGCATCCTCTGCTAAAAGACCCTCCAGATGAAAACATCAACAGTGATGTCTGACATGTTTGTGCACATGCTGTACATTCAAGTGAAACATTAAGAAATTTTACACCAAAATGTGGAAATAGACTTGAACAAAATGTATCCCCAGCAATAACAATGCAACACATCGATACAACAGAAATACCACAAGTATCCATTTGGTCACGAGGAGGTCAAAAAAAAAAGTGCAGGCAAGCTCAGTGTGTTTTTTAAAGTAAAGATTATTAGATGTCAAGGTTACATATAAAACATTTCATCATTGAGATGGAGTCATCTCATCTGTTCCTGAATCAGACTTGTAAATGACGATATGCATCATTTTTATTATTTTCACTGTGGATATCTTATAAAGTTTCATCTCACAATTAAATGTCTGTTTTTCTTCACCCTCAGTACCTGATAGAACCGATGATATAACAGTGAAGAACTAAAATACTCGGTGTTAATGAATATCTCTGGGCTTCATTCATGCCAGCATGATGGAGAGAAGACCCTCCTGGCGTTCTCTCAGCAGAATCTCCTAACTCCATGCATTTATGCTGTTTCACAGAATGAAAGCAGAAAACCAAACATCAGGACACTGCAGGCTTGGCTGCTTCCACATTGATCATCTCAGTACTTAACCACTGGAATACCACAAGGAGTGTTTTATCTGCATTTTTTATTTTCACTGTTGTAATCTTTCCATTTGCTGCTCCACGGACATGATTCAGCTGATTTTCATCATGATTATTCTAGAATTCATTAATGCCATTACTTCTTATCTTTTTCTTTCTCCCTTTATTTTCATGTTTGACTGTATGTCAGTCTCTACTAATCTCACACAACTGCAGTAGACTTCCCACTCCACACCGAAAGAGAACATCCACTCACAGAGCTCTGTGAGTAGGGCTTCCACTGTTAGGATCATTTTTGATGATTATTATTACTGATTTCTTTTTTATTTATTTGTAGTATAAGACAATAAAGACCAAAAGCAAAGGTATTATTCTGCAAAGTTTCTCTTTCTCTTACATAAGGGGATAGGTTGTAGAACAACTTAACTTAAACCAACACTGCTGCAACAGGAAGTTACAGAATACTGGCACATACTGCTTGTCCTGTCAGGCCAGTAGTGGCCAACTTTATAAATCAAGCTTAAAGGTGCCAACAGGCCAGTGAACGCTCAGTGCAGTAATCATATATCAAATGAATTCATCCCTTCAAACAACAACCGAACAGTCATTTTCAGACAGACGTACATGGTGTAAGTACTGGTAAAATAACAATCTGCACAATGTTCATATGAATAAAAATCTCATTTTGTTCTATATGCATCTGACCAGCAACTTCAGGAACTCAGGCATGAAACTGAAATTAAAAGAAAAAGACTCGGCTTTGACACAAACAGACTGAACATGTACTCCACTTGTGTCAGTCCCCGCTGTTCCTCCACACACACACCACTGCACTGCTATGGCATTGTGCAATATTTACTCACTGCCATGTAACCCTAATGTTGTAAAAGGAAAGCAGTAGTGACAAACTTAATCCATGGATGTTTAGTACAGGTAAAAGGAAAGCAGTAGTGACAAACTTAGTCCATGGAAATTTAGTACAGTGCTGCAATACAGAAATGATAAAATCACTCACAACTATTTAAAACACAAGAAGGCAATCATTTTTGTCACCAGCTGCATAGCATTCTCATGACTTAGTACCTCAACCTCAAAGCCCGATTAACCTTCTAGAAAACGTCCTGGGGCAAAAACTTGTTGATAGGCCCCTGTTGACCACCTCAGTACATTATTTCCCCAGACACCCCAAAACCAACAGGAACTCTAAAATAATTAGATTGATCAAACAGATGACAATGGAGAGCCAAAGTGAAACTGGAGATAACTTCCTTTTTAAGTTTGTGAAGCTTTGTTTCTCCAGATAAAATTGTAAAGCAATTTATCTAGGAGAGTGCATGTTGAAGATGATATATCCAGTGAGGAGAAAGCATAGCATGCCCTAGATAAACCTTCCACCTTAGTTAACACAACCCGACCTCTTAACTTAGATCTCTTGTTGACCATGCAATGAAGATATTTGTTACAGATTGAACTATAGGATCCCTATTCACTGTTTTTCTTTCTTGAATATCTATGGTAATCTTAATGCCAAGGTATATTATGGAAGCTTTAACTAGTATACCACACATATTCAAACTGTCAGTATTTTTAAAGGTAGGATTTCACATGTACCAATGTTCAGTGAGAGGCCTGACACCTGTGACAGAGATGGCATTATTAACTTCATTTGTGATTTTTTAAAAAATGCTGGTGAACATCCATTATCTATACCACTTATTCCTGAATAGGGTCACAGGGAGGGCTGGAGCCAGTTCCAGCTGACACTGCGTGAGAGGCGGGGTATACCCTGGACAGGTCACCAGTCTATCACAGACAAACAACCACACACAGTCACACACACTTCTACGGGCAATTTAGGGTCTCCAGTCAACCTAAGCTGCATGTGTTTGAACCGTGGGAGGAAGGTGGAGTACCTGGAGAGAACCCACACAGGGACAGGGAGAACATGCAAACTCCACATAGAAAGGCATCAGGTCAGCCGGGGCTCCAACCCGGAACCATCTTGCTGCGAGGCAACACCATGCCGTTGTGCCGCCTGCTGTTGAACATAATGTCTTCAGTCCTACTTTTGACAATTAGGGAACACAGAATCTGAGACACTAGTAAGAATATAGTATATGGTGATACTGGACATCTTTGTCTAACATCTTTGTGAATGTCAAATCCTGAGGAGGTTCCATGTGAGAGTTTAATGCAGCTAATACTGCCCTGGTATAAAATTTTAAAAGCATTGATAAAGAGTGTGCCAAATTTGATAAAAGCCATTGTATCAAGAATGAATTGGTGGCTGACACAGTCAAAAGCCTTGTGAAAGTCTAAAACTAACATCACAGGGATTTCTTCAAGGAGATCACTGTAGTCTACCAACTCCAACACCAACCTTATGTTGTTGTTTATCTTTTGGTTCTTCATAAAACCAGTCTGAGATTCATCAGTTATTTTGTATAATGCGAAATGCAGCTGATCAGCTAAGATTGATGCCAGTATTTTATCATCGTTGTTTGGTAAAGTTGTCAGCTGCCAATTATTAATAAGTGAAGTATCTTTATGTTGTTTATGAATTAGGGTTAGCTCTCTGAGTGGTCTTGTTCCTAACTATGTATGTTTTTTTTTTAATATGAGCATCTGTAAGCTATAAATGAGCTGCATTCATCCAATCATGTCAATGTAACCATGTAAAAATGTTGGCATTTAAATGAATATTTACAGATGATCTGTCAGCTAATCAGACAAGAGTGATTCCTGGGGTTCAAAAATGTAAAACCGATTGTGCCCAATGTTTGCATCCCAGCAAAATGCCAGGGGAGTCTGCCCTCCTCGTTTCCTGTCAAATAGCCAATCAAAACTCGTTGATATTGCATAGTTGCCACCCACCTCGTTACCTGTTCATAAAATATGATTTTAAATGCATATAGGCTGCATTTGTCTAGGTAACATCAAAGAAGTCAAATAAGACTTATTTTAGCATTAGCGGAAGTCCGACCCACACGTATTTTATTTAATGAACATCATATTTAGACACATACAAGGCAGTGAAAGCTGTTTACAAAAACCTCAGTGGACTGAGCAACAAATCATAGACAGTACACAGATTAATATCTGAACAAAACAAACAGATAAATAAAGAAGTTGAAAAAAGACCCTCCACTTATGTTTGTGGTTTCCTGATTGTATGTTTTACTGAGAGAAATCAGGGTGCGTTTTTGTTTTTTGGTTTTTGCCAGCAGAATCAGCTCAGTTACTGACTTTACACACTAGGGATAGTGAACGCTGTCTGAAACACATCTCGCGAGAAGAGACTTCGCAAACAACATCGTACGTGGCTTCACGAGTGTTTACTGGGATGTAGCTACTCGTTATTGAGATAAATCTGCTGTATGTGTACTAACAGCATTTGAAGGTCAGATAAATGTTAAGTATTTTTCACATATATCTGTGAGTTTTGTCAGAGGGAGGCACTGAGACCAGTGAAGGCTTCTCCTGACGTCTCTTCGTCATACAGCAGCAGTAGGAGCCGCTGCTGAAGACAGCTCACCCTGCCGATCCTCCAGCCTGTCGGCCTGATATGGCGGAGATCGAGTCATCGCTTGAATTCTCCGGCTCTCTGACGAGCTCTACTCTTCCGCCGCCGAGGACCCGCATCTTCAAGATCATCGTGATCGGGGACTCGGGGGTCGGTAAGACTTGCCTCACCTACCGCTTCTGTGCCGGCAAGTTCCCCGAGAAGACCGAGGCCACGATCGGGGTGGACTTCAGGGAGAGGTTGGTGGAGATCGACGGCGAGAAAATCAAGGTGTGTACTAGTAACACATCACTGTTAAAACCCCTCTGTAAACATTATACAAACAAGACGCAGATGCTGTGCCTGTGGCCCGTTCAGATAGGGAGAACACAGTCACACCAAAGGCAAATGCTGAGAGCATGACAGGTTTTAGGTTTTAGATTATAATGTATTTACTTATTGTAAACAAATCCCACATCAAAGAAAATAAACAGCGTGCTGTCACCCAGTGCAACTGTATGAGTCGCTGGTTTTGGACAGCAGTGGAGTCTGTGGCACAGAGGAAGAAGGTATATCAGCCTTTGGTTTATACAATACTTGTTGGTAGAATGAAAGAATTGACCGGTTTGTCCTCCACAGATCCAGCTGTGGGACACTGCAGGCCAGGAGCGCTTCAGGAAGTCCATGGTGCAGCACTACTATCGCAACGTGCACGCTGTTGTCTTTGTCTATGACGTCACTAATGCCGCCAGCTTCCGCAGCCTCCCTGCCTGGATTGAGGAGTGCAAGCAGCACGCGCTGGGCACAGAGGTACCCAGGATCCTAGTTGGAAACAAGTGTGACCTTCAGGACTCCATCCAAGTGGGCACCGATGTGGCACAGCAGTTTGCAGATGCCCACTCCATGCCCCTGTTTGAGACATCTGCGAAAAACCCAAACAGCCAAGGAGATGGAAGCTGTGGCGGTGGAAATAGTGACCATGTTGAGGCTATTTTTATGACAGTGGCTCACAAGCTGAAGTCTCAGAAGCCTCTGGTTTTGAGCCAGCCACCTGGGGGATCAGGGGGCACCATTAACCTGAACAGGGGGGTGAATAACGGGGGGGATGGAACCAGGGGATGGGGCTGCAGCAGCTGCTGAGGGAGGGAAGAAGGGAGACAGCTTGAGCCTGAGGTCGTACACGGCTGTTGACACTGAAGATGGAGGGTCTGGAAAGAACGCATCGTGCAAAATGGCTTCACAGAACACAACACATAAATGAGTGTCTCCATTAGAAGAGGGAACATTTTTCCAATGCTTGTGCTTAACCTTATAAATGACTAAATGGTCTTGTGTAGTATTCACACTAGGTTTGTTGTATTGGAATGCCAGAATCCTCTGTTGGTTCATGATAATGATCCAGAACAGGTAGTCAAACATGTGACCCTGAATCAGTTCTCCTCTGATAATTCATGTCCTGACCCTGCCCCACTGAGCTTTCAGTCAGTGATCGCATGTGTTCTGCAGCAACAGAAAACGTGGAGACAGCGTGGCATTCAGAAATGAGTAGTTTTCAGCAGGTTACTGAGATGTTTTGACCTCTTGTGGAAACTGTGACCCAAATAGCTTTCATTGTAATGTAATAGCAAAAACAAGGCCAGAGACAACCAGCATCATCCAGGTTTACAGTACAAGCTGATGCAGATGCATGCTGATGTACTGACTGCATTATATTGAGAGGTGTTATTTGGTCCAGCCCCTTCTGGTTCTTGCTATACACAGTATGTGGTCCTCTGCATGTGGTTGGAGTTGATTTAGTTTCAAATCAGCCGCTTTATTAAAGACACCCTGTGGAGTTTTCTTGTAAACTTTAAATCCTTTGAATCCAAAGATCGAAAACCTTGCTTGTGTAAAACAGATCCTTCCAGAGAGGCCATGGAGTGTTCTATTTGTTATGGACCCAGCTCACTGAAATACTGCACTTGGTTGAGAAAAAACACTGGTGGTAAAATTTAGTTTTACTTAAGAAAAAGAGTGGTAGATTGACTGAAGTCATCATGTGTGGAGTTTTCACACTTAAGCATTAGTTATTTGGTATAATGTACGTAATTGTAAACACAGTTATAAACATCTTACTGCTTGTTGGTCCCATTGGCTGTATATAGAAACTGGACAAACCCATCGCCATATCGGTGGCCAGACTTGAGCTTCACTCTGCCTGCTACGACCAGTTTAAAAATGGGCAAAGAGGAGGAGGGTGAGCAGAGCCGGCCAGCCACCTATTTAGTCTCAGTATAATTTAAACGGGAGGTTCATGGAAGATAAATCAGCTAAAGAGACTGTAAACATGTTTATTTCTGCTGTAAAGTCGGCCATTTTAACATGAGAATCTATGGTGATTGACTCCCTTCTGGAGCCAGTCTCAAGACACCGTTCGAGGGACTGCAGGTTTTGGCACTGCTACACTGGCTTCATTTCTCAGCCTCAGAGGTTTCCGCTTGGTTGGTCCATCCATTTTTAGGATAGTAGAAGAGTTAACGTGGAAAGGTCACACAGGGCAGGCTATATGAGTTCTAGATAGTCAGTGCATGGTCTGACTGGGGTCCAAAAATGAGTTGTTGGGGTTCTTTTAGCCCACCTTGCCTCCTGTTTTCTCTGATTTGTATTATCATATCGGTGTACTGTATGACCACACTGCTGAAGCAGGACCCACCTTAAAGCCCATATCTTGTAAGTGGACATTGTCTTCTAGTACTTCATGTTTCCAAATAGATGAATCAAGTTACCGCCAACCTGTTTTGCCCAGCTGGTAATCCAGGCTTGAGTCTGTGGTCCATTCAGGTCGGGTCCATGTAGTTAGTGTGGGGTGGCCCAGGGTAGGTCCACATTCGAGAAATAAAATGTCACTTTTACAGCCGCACCAACAAACAGACAGCTAGTGCACTGCTCTTCTTCTCAGCCCTACTGGACAGTAGAGAACACTTAGACCAATGCAACCATTTCTCAGGACTAGTTCATGTCCCTTTAAGATTACAGGACATTTCACAGACACTGTAAGGCGGTTAGGGGTTTGCAGTGGAGCCAGATATGTTAAAACTGTTTTCTTCTTTTCAGCTCATGATGTTCAAGGGTCTGAACTGCTGTATGGCACACCAGCGCAGCAGATGAGCACAGTTCAGAGGGATGAGTATCGACCTTACTGAGCAGATCAGTTATTAGCAGTGATGTGACCCACTCACATTAAGTACATTTGATGTTGTTTGTTTTTTTGTGGCACAGCAATCACTGGTTTTATGTTACCTTACAGTTGAATACAGTGTGGTAGTCAGATCACAGTTTTACTACTCTGGTTCACTCTTGATGCTCTTGAAGTGTCATTTTTGGCTGCAGAAGGTAGCAGCTATTTTAAGAGAAAAGGCTCTAAAAGCCACAGAACACCTGCTCAGCAGCAAACAGTAGACAGACACAACTGTTGAACCCACTGGAGCATTTAGCAGTTAAAGAGATGGTGGCTTTCCCTCAGGAGTTGGCAGAGACCAAAAACAGAGCTAAAAGAGAGAGTGAATATCGGACTTAGATGTATCAGGTGGACGCAAACTCCACTCCTGGATATGGAAATAAGCAACTGTTTGCTAACAAGTTCACATCGGCTGTAAAAGGTGATATGTCAACGTTGTTTTCACTGCAACCAAGTGGACAAAAAAAACGGTTACTGCAGGTTTCACAGAAGATACATGTTTTTCAGTGACAGTACCTTTGTTTGTTTTTTTTTAGCATGCACCACTAGTGCTAATACTCTGCATACAGGCTGCATGTGACATTGTCACGTAACAGTTCGGGTCAGCACAGGTCTCCCAAGATGTATGCATAATGCACATCTGTCAAACAGGTTTCCTGTTAATTGTTGCACCTAGTGATGTGCCAAGAGTCTACTGTAAGCTTGATGATGCAGGATTCAAAGGAAGCCTGTCTTAATGTGCTTGCATGTTAGATAAAACTTTACTAATTCCACAATGGGGTGTTCCTTCTTCTGTTAGAAAAAGGCTGCCAAATAGCCCGAGTGGTAAAGAATAGTACTGTGTCAGCTGGACCGTGAAAACACTTACCTCTCATGGCTTTGGAGTGTGCACCTCTACATGTACATGTTGGCCTCTTCCCACTACTTATTCTGTATGTAAGCTTGTGACACAGTATTCAGCATGTCTCCCAAACACCACCATATAATAAAAACAGTTATTAATTCTTCATAAGCCATGATGCACCACAGTACGGTGTCCATGTAAGTATACAACTTAGTGGTTTTAAAGGTTTGTTGTGACCACAGCTGGTCCTGTGGCTCCTTCACCCCCATATCACATTAACATCTTCTTGAAGGATCCAGGCAATCAAACAAACCAAATGGCCTTTTCTTCAGACTCACTGTTCCGAAGCTATGCACAAAAAGACGGGCTGTGCTAGCTGCATCTCCGTGGCCTTTTGTATTCTTTTATATTTGGTTGCCGCTTCTGTTCTGTTTTTTTTTTTTTTGTAATTGATGAATACTCCTGATATGTAGTTACACTGGGCCTAATCATTTTGTTTGCCTTACTTTGTGTTCACTACAGCCATCAACAAGAAACAATGCTAATGTATCTCATATTACAAATAGTCAAAGGAAAAACCTACTGGAGGTAACTGAAAAAGGGAGACACTTGCAATAGCTTTGTCATGTGCAACCCTGCAATAAATTACTCTGAACACGTCACAATGTGGAGTCGTTTCTTTTTGCAAAATCACTTGATGATGAAACTCAATTTGGTCAAGTTTTATTTACTGAATACACATAAAATGCCTCATGATTTATGAGTTCAGAAGGTTTGGCTACAAAGGGCACAGTCTAATCAGGAGCCTCTAAAAGTTCTCTCTATAACGTTTCCATTTTTCAAGCCATTCGGTTCATCCACAAAAAGTAAGAAACATGCAGGTAGTTCATGCACAGCTTTCTGTCACGAGAAGTGTGTGTCAGGTCAGTCTGCTGTATGGAGGCAGTTTAGAGGGTCCCTCCTCTTCTTCAACAATGCCTGGGTCAGAGGATTGAGCTGGTGAGTTGAAGAGTCTGTCATCACCACCTGCTGGACACAGAGGAGAATTGCATCACAGACTGACTGCTGAGAGCAACAGCTACATCATCACCAACCCACCTAATACCAACAGCAGCTGAAGCAAAGATGAGTTTGAAACCTAATTACCTTGCCAGGTACACACCATCTCCGTGTCCCCAGGGTCACACTGAGGAATGAGTGTCTCCTACAACATACAGGCACACAGACTTGTACATGAGATGGGTCTGATAAAAGAAACATCACATCCTTGGATATCTGCATGATTTATGAAGAAAAACCAGCTTGTTCTCAGAATCATCCTTATCTGACAGTAATGTTACAATATTGTACAGTACATCCTAAATAGAGGGCTCTCGGACTCCGTTGTGTGAGCTGACTGCAGCTGACTCTTCTGGCCTCCTTCGCAGTGCAAATGTCTTGTCCTAGCTTACCACGAGTAGCTGGCCTAATGCTAAAATAGCACTGTTGCCAAAGCAAAGGAGCATATCACTATCTAGCGCTGTGAATTTGTCGAGTTGCATTGTCAGAAAGAGCCCCATCCAGAACCACATGAAAGCTGGTACCGGGTGACAACATCAGATTTCAGGGTAACCTTTGCATCTCTGTCCTGCTTTTTGTGGGATTTTGGGGACATGTATTCCTCTTCTCTTGTAAAAGTCAAACATACTGTATGAAAATAAAAACAATCATTTACTATTCTAACCTTTGATTTGCTTGTCCAAGTTGGTTTTTAACATAGAAAAGTATAGGAAACATCTGAACAGCATCATGTTAGCAGGATCTGTCTGATCAGATTTGCATATATCACCAGGGCTAACATCCTATACCCTGCAATACATTCTTGCTACTCTTTCTTCAGTTTACATATGAGACAAGAGAACTGACTGTCAGTTGCTACAAAAGAGGAGCTTTCTTCTTTCCTTCAGTTGAAACACAAAGACCCATTTTTCAAAAAAAGAAATGTTTAAGAGGTCTTCCTGTAAACCTGCTCCTCTTATCACTGTAAGCCACACGTTGCATGTGACAATAGAGAGCGTGACAGAGTCTTAGCTAAGTGAAGGGTCAATACATGAATGAGTAACATTTAAGATTGGTTCCATTCATATTAATGTGACCATATTCTTCCCTACCAGTCCAGTTCTGGCATCATAGCAGCCACAGCAGGGCAGGCTGCGACAGCCCAGGAAGCCAATGAGAGAAGAGAGGGCCAGGCTGATGATGCAGGTCAGCAGTATGGTGGCGTTGGCCCCCTTCACCATCCGATGAAGCACAAATGTCTGAACAGACACAGAGAATTTCACTATAGCGCACTATGTTACCAATAAAACTGTTACTGATCAACTCTGTACTAAGCAGAGGTGACTTGTGTAGTTTGACAGGGTCTCGGACCTTTTGTCTGAGCTTGCAAAGCAGTGTGCAATTTGATTAATGGAATGAATGTGATGAGAAATCAAAAATAGAGAGCTCAGGGCATGATGGAAGACGCCTGGCTCGTACTGATCTAAGAGCTGATCAGTTTAGATGTTGGATCAACAACATGACGTTTTAGTGAAACATATCATTTCTTGTTGAATTGGAGAGATTTTGTTAATTGGCTTTTGCACAATAAAGGTTTATTCTGTTAACAGAGTAAATGTGTGGCTGATGGTGACTTTTATCAGTCAGAGCAGCTGAATACAGTGTGATTATATTACAGATCATTTACACAATCTGCAGGGGGTCTACGAAACTTCTGCTCTACAATATTATGGCTCGTTCGAAAGGTCAGTGAGCAAGCATGCACACCACCATGTAATCGAATGCAGCCGCTATTCGTGCCATTAATTACAGCTGTGAAGAAGGCGACACTTCAAAAAACAAAACATAAAAAGAAATCTTTTGTCATAGTACATCTACATATGCAGGTATGTGGGTGCATGGTGGTTACCACTTCAGGACTGTCATGATGGTGAAAGACCTCTTCATCCTCCTCCCCGTATGTCAGCGTCAGACAGGCATAGCCTGATATAAACAGCATGGCCACACAGGAAAGCCCTGCTGCTGCCACCATCACACTCACCTACAGGGAGAGGACAATAATACAGTGTGTATGTGTGGGAGTAAGAGGGCAAGTGAAGGTGTGTGTCTCACTTTCTAATTCATATATTACACTCATTACGAAATATTCAATTCCAAATAAAGAATGTTTAAATGTTATGTTTGTTAGGTTTATTTTCCAAATATTATGTAGAGATGAGTCACACCATCCTTCCCCTTTCCTAACAGAAATATATTTGTCTGAAAAAACATGACAGAGGCCAGTGTTCAAAATACACAAATGATTTGGGTCTGCTGGTAACACTTCCCTCTGTAATTGGGGTTTGGGTACTGTAGGTAGGATGTGCCTGTGCCATACATAGCACTGCTGAGATAATGTACAACACTGCCATAGCTTAAACTGGTACTTTGGGATATGGCAAATAATGCCTTTAAAAACTTACCAGTACTGAGTTTTTCCTCTGGGAGGCAAACAGCGCCAAAACACCTGGACAGGCCATGATCTAACAGGAAGTGAACATGTCAGAATAAATGAAACAAACAACGGGTCAGCTCAGTTAGAATCCGCTGGTGGTTGGTACAAGAAAAACTATCTCAGAAAGAGCCAATGTTACTCCCCCCCTCTCCATCAGTCTTCTGGAAATTTGGCAGGATTTGTTCTTGTTTAGACTGAATGAGGTATTAACAAAAACAGCAAAATGAAGATAATGAATTCTGTAAATTCAAAAAACAAAACAAACAAAAAAAAACAACAACTCACCAGTCCTCCCCACACCGGGGTCCTGGTGGTACTCAGTGGGGTATCCTTGCGGAAAACAGCGTCCATAAACCCACAGACCACGCAAAGACCCGCACAAGCTACCTGCAGGATACCGAGACCGAGCACCCTCTTCTGGTTAAAAATAAGATACCTATACCGGTCCATTCCGGGTAGGGCATAATCCGCTGGAAAGTCCCGTATTAAAGTCCCGCACCTCTGCGCGGTCAGGGCTGACGTTCAGCTCGTGGGTCACCTCTCACGTTAACTTGACGCTCGGTGTCGTTTTGACATTTCGGTGTAAAAAAACATGAAGGCAGAGTTTGACAACTGAGACAAAGACTTAAATATAGGCCTAATCGTTTTCACTCCACAGCCCATTCGTGGCGTATATGTTCCGGGTTTCAGGCTGCTTTCACCTGGTAGGTAGTTTAGCCATTAACCTGACTGACCAGCAGCAGGTGGAGGGAAACACAGGGCGCGTTCATGCCCAGAGTTTGGACTCTCAGGCTGCAAGCCCCACCTCTCCTCCTGCGTTACGATTTACAGAACCTTAACCTAAGATTAGAAAAACAGCGTTTCTCTCAACAGACGCAAGTTAAATCACTCTTATAAATGTAGATCCTGACAGGTGCACCTCAAAGACGGTGGTCAGCAACACAAAAGCACCACTGGGGACAGCGCTCTCCCCTGTCCTATTCATCTTGTGCACCACAGACTTCAAGTACAACTCGGAATCATGGCACATGCAGAGGTTTTCTGACGGCACTGCAATTGCGGGCTGTATCAGGGATGGACAGGAGCCCGGTGAAGGACTTCGTGGTACGGTACAAGACTAACCATCTCCCTGTTAACACCTCCAAAAGCAAAGCAGATGGTCTGGTCTAACTTTTGGACATGGACATGTGATGTCACTACTCAGCTCCATAATAATGTGATCCCACGTTTCTATGACACTATACTACTGCACTGTTTAACCTCGTCTTTATCTTTGCACAGTGTTCGACCCTGCCCATACTGGCATTGTACACAGGTACCCCGTGCACATTTACTTATGTATTTTAGTCTTACACTTTTACACATTTGTTTACTTTGCTGTTATTTTGGTAAGCAATGCTATTGCTAGTAGATACCTGAATTTCCCTCAGGATCAATAAAGTATCTGTCTATCTAGTTGTACAATTGGCCCATAGAACTGGTAACATAACATATGCCTGCCTGAAGATGTTCATTCTGGAAATTTAGCTGCAAATAGCTTGCATAGTTTATAAACATAGCACTGATGATTGATGTCAAAACGTTCTTAAATTCAGTGCCAAAAATAAATGGTACTCAACAGCAGCCAAATTGAAGTCATTAAATATAGTCCTGTCTTATCCTTCTCAGACATCATTAGCTCTCTGATTCTCAAACACTAAAATACTTGCAAATCAATGTGTACTGTAGGCCTATATAAAATACCAGAGTAGGCCCGTATAACTACGTTTTCCCAGGAACTCACTTTTGAAACTCAAATTTGGTTTCCCATTCTATTATTATTTACAAAAGTTCAATTCATGCAGGTGATGAAACACTACCCTTACTAAATAAATACTTGCCAGTATTTTCCCCACTGGTGCTATCTCAAATCTTCAACCACATTATAAATGAGGCATGTGGACCAGTTTTTCTTCATCCTGGACTTTAGTTTTTAATTTATGAACACATGTTTAGGTTAGAAAACACCTGACAAATCTTTCCTGTGGTGGTAGGCCTTCCATTAATTTCTCCCTAAAGTTAGGAATAATCTCTATAAAACTCAGGAAATACAGTACGTCACCCATTTTAGCCCTATGAAGTTACACCTTTTAAATGTACAGTAGGTTGCCGTGCAAAAGTTTTAGGCCTCAAAAGCAAAGTGAAGGAGCCTTCAGAATTAATGCAATGAAGCTTTTTTAAACCAATAACCTTCATACAAAATGCAGTTAAGAGAAAAGCCTTTAGCACATCAATATTTACTGCGACCACCCTGTGCCTTTAAAACAGCACCAGCTCTCCTCTTGCACAGTTCTTCGAGGTGTTTAACAGGGAGGTTGTTCAGTGCATCTAGGAGAACCTGCCACAGTTCCTCTGTCTACTTAGGCTGCCTCTTCATTTAAACCCAGACTGACTCCGTGATGTTAAGATCAGGGCTCTGTGGGGGCCGCACCACCTGATGCAGGACTCCTTGTTCTTCTTGCTGATGAAGATGTTTCTTTAGGACTCTAGCTGTGTTTAGGGCCATTGTCATGCTGCAGAATGACTTTGGGATAGAATCTAAAGACCTAAAGCACCTAAAACTGTTGCACAGTTTAATCATACCAGATAAACAGTGTTTGGAATAAATAGTGCTGCTAAACTCAACAACTTGAGGAAAGCCCTGTTGAGTAAACTGCAGCTTCTGAAAATGAAATATAACAGTAGTAATTTGTTGTTATAACCTAAATGTATAAGTACCAATCATGAGCATGTACATCATTGTGATGAAGAGGACAGTGGTAAAATCTGCTACTGACATTTCTCATTCAGTACCACTTGGTTTTTTGCATAGATCTTGAGTTACTTTGGCTCTGGATCTCCAAAGCCTCCAAGCATACTGAATTACTCGAGCAATAATCCACTTGAATACCATAAGCATCATTGTAACTTCTCAGCTATCTATGCTGTGGGCTGCAGGTGCAGGGGATATCATGTGCCATAATGGTCCAAGAGTCTTGCAAGCTGGTAACACAGGTACAGGGGCGTATCATTGTCCAGAGGTATTAATCTGCTTTCTCATTGGCCAGTGAGAGTCGCCTGTCTCTGTTGGAACACCTCCAGCTCCTGCTTGTACCAGTCAGGAGCCTCTGGGCCATTCTTCCCAGTTGGCTCGTGATCGTAGCCGTAGGCAACAGTTAGCTCCTCGTCTTTCTGCACAGGCCTCAACGTTCGGATGCACTTGATTGGCCCAAAACGAGGATGCATGAACCTGCACAAAAATAAAACTTTTAAATTAGATACAAACCATAATGCAGATCAGGCTGGACTGGTTAAACTTTACACTGATACCATGCAATATTAAGGATCATATGCCCCTTAGGGATCTAAACCTGCAGCTAGAACCACTTTTGTTATATGTTAACAGCCCATGAAAGCTATAAAATCATTGTATTGGATTGTGAGAGACAGACTGCATTTCCATAAGGTTGTATTATCAGCCATCAGGATGAATATACTTCCACAAGTAAGCCTACTTTTACTCTTTTCTGTGTTGCTTCTTGCTCCTCCACCTGACTACCAGAAGAAACTGTATGCAGTTGTGAACACATTTATTTGGCAGGAAAGGTGGCTATGAATTCAGTTTAGAAAGATTAAAGGTATTGGGAGACTACGTTTTGCTTCTTTTCTGTCCTATCCTCTTGTCATAATCCTTAAGCAGAAGTGCTGTGGGTGGGTCAACTGGAAGCATTAGTTGCATTGAATATCTGTTTCCTTTCATGCTTAAAAACTTCAAGGAAATGTTCTTTCCTATTTTTATTTTCTGGCTTTGTACTGACTTGTATTTTCATACTTATAGTCGGCATGTAGTATAGAATACTGTATGTACCATGTGTCTGTAGGTATTGATTTGTGTTCTCTGCCCTCCCTGTACTCATGGTGATCAACACTAGATGTGTACTGGGGAGGATCAGTGCTGTGACTAAGTGTCTACTATATGTATTCCAGGGAACTCAAAGGAGATGTGTCACTGACCCACCTGTGATAATAATCACATTACCATCAGGCAGTTCTGCAAAGGTAAGCAGTGCTTTCTGTCTCTCATGCTTGCACACAGAAAGAATGATATGTATAATCTCTTTCTCAGATGTGCATGAACAACCAGGGAAGACCTGCCTCTGTCCAGCAGTGTGTTATTTGTGGTTTGTGGGTATGCCTTTAAAATCACTATATACACCTCTACAAAAAGTCAACTGGGCCACTATAATAAATGTAAATTTGTTTTGGTGAACCTTGTGCTGAAGTTAGTTTGATTTGCTTAAATCATTTCAATGGAAATATAATTGAAATATATTTTAGGTAGTTGTAGTTCAGTTAGGTCAAAAAGTCGATTTTGAACATTTACAGTTCCATGGCATCTACTGAGGAAACCCTGGAACAGCTTTACATGAACCTTGTGGAGAAACTGTTCTGTTAACTACTGTTTTCAAAGTCAGGAATGAATTTTCAGTGTCAAATGTTTGAATCTCACTTTGAAAACATCTGAGCGTCCCTGTACTCACGGGTCATATGTGCAGTTTGGGGTGAAGGAGTGGTTGGCCTTGTGACCCAAAGAGGCACAGTATCTCTCTGTCTGGTCAAATGGCTGAGGGACATCGATCACAGTGTCCTCGTCCAGTGAGATTGTGTTGCTGTTAAGTGCCCAGTCTCTGCTGTCCACCTGAGACATCCACGTGGTCGTGAAAACAAACTGGTTAGTCACAATGGTTTAGCTAGCATACGTGCTACAAGAATAATATGTAAAGAGAGGCAAATTTACCCACTACCTTTAGCAAAATATTTCAATAACTTAACTATAAATTTTAATATTTTTATCCTTTTTTGCTATTTCAACCAGTTACTTTTAGCTATTTGAATTATTCATTCACTAATGTAAGCTGTGGTGGTCAGGTGTTTTCTCTCAGTATAAACACACATTCAAATTAGATTTTTCTTCTTCCAAATTCATTCCACATACCCCCAATCATCTGCAGAGTAGTCCCTCTTGCTCTCTGACATACCTCAGAGTGTGTGATGCGAACGCCGTTGTAAAAAGCCATCACAGTGTTTGTTTCAGTATCTGCCTTGGCAAACAGACCCTGTCCTGCTCCTTTAATCGTAGAGTCGGCCACAAAAACCCTGACACACAAAACCAATATGGTGCCAGTTTGAAAAACAGCCCTGCACTGGTTCCATTGTAATCTCCATGGTAATTATCAGGATAACAGATTGTATAAAGCTGACTCACCTTTGGCTTTCGTATGGGTCAGGAAGCAACGTTTGGGTGGCAATGCAGGTGGATGTGGACTTGTCGTACAAGTACACAGGACCTTAAAAACACAGTATGTCACGTTACTATTCACTTATTCCCATAAATGCCGAGCTGAAACTGGAACTGCAGCACACACAGTTTCCAGTTTGATGGTTTCAGTGTGACTAAAACAACACATCAACACCCTGGTCATCACTGTTGACAGAATGTAGTTACACGCACAAGTTTAGGACCCCTGGTCAAATTCCATGTTTCATTGATCTCAGTGAAAAGAAGTGAATCCAACCCTTGTAGCAAACACACACAACCCTGAGCAGTGGGTAGGACAGGGGCCCTCGAGGACCAGAATTGCCCACCCCTGGTGTTGTGTCACATGACATTCTTTTACACATTAAGTATAGGTGAAAAAACATTGTAGGATTTTTAGCACCAGAATTTCATACTACAGATGCTAAAATAAATAAAGTGAATAGTAAAAGTGGTTTTAGTGGGGTGATTACAGACATAGTCCTTTATTGTTTAATGAAAGTGTGTGACTTAAAAATATGGTGTCAATATAATATGGTAGTACACTATGAGATTCTATTTCTATCTATTTTTATGCCTCTGCACTAGCGATAGTCACAATCGGAGGCATTATGTTTCAGGTTATCCAACCAACCAATGGTCCACTTGGACTTAAGGATGAATTGATTATATTTTGGTCAAAGGTCAGGGTCACTGACCTCACTTTTGTCCCATTCCCATGAATTTGACTGGTTGGCGGAGGCATAGAACCATGAAGCGATAATTCTAGTTGTACATCAAACCTTAAGCTGCTCAAGTTAAATTCTTTAACAGTGCAGACTACAAAGCTAATGCATTTATGATTTGGATATTCAAACGAATAACTCCTGATTGGCTTTGAGTCAAGCATAATTTTCACACTTGTATTTTAGCCACAACATTTCTTGGAACTTCCTGGACTGACTAAGGGAAAAGGTTATCTTTAGAATAACAGTGTTCATCATTAAATCTAAGCATCTAATTATTACATGAATTCTAAAGGGTAAAGTTTGCTGTTCCATGCCTTGTGAAAAGTCTGCAGCCTCCAAACAAAACAAGTAGGCCTCTTTTTAGATACGAGTGCATTCTACAGAATGATGTCAAGACTTTACAAGATTCATGTCTTTAAAAAAGAAGGGGACAATGCTGAATAGATCCAATAACTAGCAATGATCATCCAAAACATCACCTATAATGAGCACTGACAGGAGATGACATTAGTACTTACTGCTGGGTGAGATTTCAAAGCGTGGCCTTCCACTCCCGCTGGAGATCAGGGTGGCGAGGCGAGCCTCGATCAGCTCCCCATCCACAAAGCTTCCAAAAAGAGCCGTGTGACCGTCAGGGTAGATGTACACTACAGATTTACCGGTCATTTCCCCATCCTCATTCACCATCCCAAACACGCAGCCCCCATCCTAGACACACCACAGTACACACCCACATGCACAATACATAGTCAATGAAAAGCATTCATTTACTTTTGAAGAGCTGCCATTCAAGAACATTTAGTGCCACACAGAACTCCTAATGGTAATATACATGGCCTCAGAAGTGCTTGTCCTGTGTAACCAAGTGAATTTTCCCCACATGCGACTGCAGCTAGTGTATAGCGAGCACTCAGCTGACTCACAGGGTAGTAGACCCAGCACTCCCCACAACGGTTGTTGTCTTTGTACTGGCCCTTGAACACCAGGCGGCCCTCTCCATCAAGCTCCTGAGCGGGCCCATTGAGCTCGCCATCCACATATGTCCCATGGAGGACACCACCATCTTCATATGTATACAGCCCCTGGCCCTGTAAAGCATCATCTACATAGAAACCCTCCAGGGTGCTGTGGCAGGGTAAGGAAGATGACAGCGGCATTGAGAATTAAGTTTAATCACCTCAAGACAAACACAGTCAGATCAAATTCAGTAGTGTAGGAATAACCTTTATTGGATTAAAATTAAATTATCAGTGTCCATACAGTATAAGCAAAGCTTAAGAGAAAAATCAATTCTCAAGATTTTCAACTGAATGAGCTAATGTTAATTTTTAAGACTGACCTTTGCATTTGTGCTTTTTCTCAGTAAATGGCCATCTGCACTAAATGTTCTGAGCATGCAGAGGTGAGAGTGGTTGAGTTAGAGCTGCATGAAATAACCATCCCTACAGTCAAACACAGTGGTAGTGGCAGCATCAGGCTGTGGGGAGGTTTTTCTGTGGATGGGACTCAGAGTCAGAATAGAGGGAAGGATGGATGCAGATAAATATAAAGCAATTCTGAGGGAAAACCTTCTTCAGAGTGCTCAGGATCTCAGGCTGGCAGGTTTACATTTCAACAAGACAATGTCCCGAAGCAAAGAAAACACAGGAGTGGCTTCATGAAAACTCTGTCAAAGTCCTGAAGCGGCCATGGTGTTTCCTAAGTCTCTTATATGATTGTTCCGACATCCTCGGCTCTTGCTCAACCCAGAAGTCATTTAGGTTGACAGAGAGCCAAGAATGTTCCAAGTCTGTTATATCAGCTCTAAGGAGCGAGAAGTCTTTTTATGACTTGACATGCCCTTTTATTAGAACTCAGTTGGTGATTGGATGCTTCAGATGAAGGATCTAAGGAAAGGACGTGTCATGTTCTTAATAACATGTTTCCTCAAGTCCTCTCCTCCTATGTTTTCCTCACATTTTTGCCATTGCATCTTACATGGGTGGCACAAAGAAGCAAGGAAAAAACAAGTGCCAACCCATATGAGAGACACACATAGCCTTTGAGGACAGACTTGTGTTGTAGCTCAACAGGTAAATCAGCTGCTAGTTTTTTTTTTACATTAACCATTAATTCTTCAGCCTCAGATAACAATCCATTCACATGGCACAAATGTATGTCTCATTTACTTCCTCACTCCTCCTTTGTAAAATGCACTGTGCCTGAACTTCCCTAGGCTTTTCTATAGAAAGCACACAAACAGGGCTCAGTACCTGGCAGACAGAGCTTGGGTCACTGTGTAGGTGTGAGTGTGGTTTTAGCATGATACCAGCAGACCATTACAGTTCACTCAGCACACACCATACTACTGCAGCGGTCGAGTCTGGCTGCCTTTCATATCACTTCAAGAGCCAATAAGTGCACTCTGCTTTATCTTTTCTCCTGGCAGGAGTCTGTGATCTGATCTACACCCGTTGGCTCTGATGTCTTGGGGAAACCCAACTCTCCACTGTGCTTCAGCTGCTGCTTTGATATACATGTTGTTAAGGACTCGTACATTATTAGCGACACCTGTAACTGCAGGTCGTCCACTTTCCTCATTAGGCATGTAAAGCTGACAGTCAGATGTCTCAGGTCCTTCTCTTGTCAGTGCTCCTAACACTCTGCATTCTGCACGTTTTATGAATATAGTCACTACTTTTAGTCCACTTTAGTTTACTGAAATTGCACCACTCTAATAAACATAAAAATCAAGAATGGTGCACATTTCTTTCTACAGTACCTTCCATCAAAGAAGAAGAACTTGCCCTTGCCATTCTTCTCTCCATTGATGAAGTGTCCCTCAAAGCGATCACTGGATGAGTAGGTCACTGTGCAGAAACCATGTGGCTGATTGTCGTCATCCAGTGGACCTGAAGTTAGTTAATGATGCTTTAATATACAAATACAGAGCAGAGTTAGGTCTAGTGATCACAGCTGACTCAGAATAATTCTTTTTCTGTAATATCTCTCATGACACTCGTAGACTGACAGTATTATACAGGAAAACACCCACTTTGATGGTTTTTCAAATGTAATTTGGAATACCATATATTTGGATTCCCCTTAGGAGGAATTCTTACTAGTCAGAATGTAACTGCAGATATCTTTAATTCAGATTTTGTCTTGTCAAAAATGAATTGCAGCTATCTGATGTCAGTGACTCATTTCAGCATTCCAAAAAGGAGCTGTGACTAGTCAAAATGTAATTGTAGATATCTAAAATTGTCATTCTTACTGGTGTTGTACTTTTTACCATACGGACTCTTGAGAGACGAGACAGTCCAAGTAACTACAAAACAGTGCTGATTTATTCCATGAACACAGGTAAAAATTAACATTACACGCTCAGGCATCTTGCACCCTCCAACATGCACGCAGGCAGCTGAAAGATGAAAGACCCTGAACCAAACCAGGCCTATACATTATATCCCCTCGGTTGGGCTAGCCCCATACTACACAGAAACGTCAAGTGCGACGTCTCTGTTGCCAGCTTTGCAGCTGGTCATAGCAGTAGTCAAAACTGTGTGTGTCTGTTGGTTAAGTGGTGTGTAGCTAAAAACATTCTCACGACCTCTAGTAACATGTCGTGACTTAAACATAAGAACATATTATGGCTAAGGCTACAGTTATACACGTCGTAATAATAATATTAAACACCCTGTCTGCTGACAGTCATCAACTCTTCTCTCTAGTTATCCTTGACCAGATGTACCCTGTAGAAACTCATAAGCATGACTAAGCATTTAACAGTCTAACTAGACATCCTATCTCCAATAAACATTTCTAATACATAAAGTATCTATCCAATTTCTATCTGACTAAAAATCCCTAACAGTGGTCAGGATACAACTATAGATATCTTGAATTCATCATGACTAGTCACATTGTAATTTAAACTACTCAAAATGTCATTTTAGACATCTGAAATGCAGTTATGGATATTCAAGTGAAACCTTAAATGTAGGGATACCGCTGGAGTTTGTTTTGACTCTCACTTCACCCTTAGCGGTCGAATATTAGAGAGAGAAGTTAGTTAATGATGCTTTAATATACAAATACAGATTAGTGCAGCTTTACTATTTATTTATTAATTTGGAGGAATTACAAGCATGTCCAGATACTACTCTAAAAAAAGATTTCTTTAAGCCCTTCTAGCACGGTTTGTCAGTTAAGCACCAAAAACAGCGGCAAAACAGACAAGCCCCCTCTTATATGAGTGGCCTGAGATATTGTGAAATTCTGTGTTTTTACCGCCCCCTTGAGGCCAACATCGATATTGTCTTTTTTGGGACAGGCAGGAATGGCTGGACTTTTGTTAGCCAAGAACTGTTTTCATATAAAAGATTGATTTTATGTGTTTTCAGTCGGTGCCATCCGAATACTAGAAGACCTTACAAATCATTTAAAAACAATGTGGAAAAAAGAAGCAACAAAAAAGTTCACTCCAGTTTAGTGTTCGCTTTTCAAGCTAAAAACACGCGTATACCAGATTTTTCACCAACAGACTACTTTTCATTAAGAAATATGAATTAGTCGTGTTACGCGCTCACGTCGATACAGAGAAACATTAGCCACCAATTTCGTGTTACAACGTTGCTATACGTCGACACGCGAAGCACAGTGTGAAAAACAAAATGCAACCTCTCACGTTTGTTTAAATGTTCTCCCTAAACACCCCCAGCAGGCAGCGAGAGACGGATAACCCCCGGGCCGCACGCACTTCCCGTCAGGCGGGTTTCCTACTCCAATAAAGACCGCGGCGTTTCGATTTACCGAGTGGGCCTACTGTCAGACTGACACATGGAGATTTACGACGTGACACCGCGATCTCAAAACGGCAGCGAAGAAGAGAAAATGCATCACGCTTTGTTCGCCGACTACGGTGAAATAATAGCAAGACATTGCTTACCTTCCACAACCTCTTCTACACGTTCATCGTCGCTGTCCATGCTGCAGGCGGCGGCTGACGACCACACCACAGACTGGGGGGTTGTCTGACACCCATCCCATGGGGCGTCACTTGGGCATGACAGCACTTTATATTTAAACTGGAAACTGGACAGTGTTACTGTAAAATTAGACGAAATGCTGAGACTAGATTTAAACTGCAACAATTTTATTTGTTTCATTTCAAGTTAGTTGAAGCCATAAATTTCATATTGTCATATTTGCTCCCATGATATACACAATTACATTATAGGTACGCACAAATCTGAGTATTACCATTGTATAGTGTATAACAGGGGTGGGCAATTAATTTTTACAAGGGGCCACATGAGAAACCTGAACTGTGTTGGAGGGCCGAACCAACGATAACTTGAACTTAATTCTTCTCAATATTCATCATCTCCCATTGTAAAAAGCAGTAAATTATATGTGTTGATTAGCTGCTACTATTAATCTGAAGAATAAGCATATTCTATCAAAATTTATATAAATATATGAAATTGTGGTGTAGGTCAAACAGGAAAATACTCCCATAGAAGTAATAAACAGTAAAAACAAAAACATTACATCACAGTTCCATTTTATTTTCAACTTCACATAACACTGAAAAGGTGTTTTGCAGTATGGTAAAGATATGCATTTTCAGTTCATTTTACTTGTTCAGTGAGAGAAATCCAGTCTGGCTTTGGCTTGAACAAGTGCATTGAAATCTGGATTTGTTGAACTTCATCACTGAGAATGTCTGTTCACATGTAGATCCAAAGATTTCCTGCAATGTCCTCAACCCTCCTCATCACAGTGCGTCGGGAGAGGGGACGTTCTCATATGCGTCCTTTTTCTCCAGGCCTATTAGTGTTGCAGAGTCCAACAAACACTAAATTAAAAACTCACCGTCAGAAAAATGCTTACTTGTTCTGGTGATTTTGTGGGATATGACATAACTTGTCTTGAAAGCTGCATCTCTGGGTGTGGTAAGTTTTGTAAAAAGTCTTTGTTGGTTATGCAGTTTCACTAGCAAAGCATCCGACTCTCTTGCGCACTCTTCATCCGACAAGTTCTTGTATTTCTCCTCATGTTTGGTCACGTAGTGGCGATTCAAATTGTAATCCTTACAGCAACCTGTGTACCACAAACTAAACACACCGCTTTACCTTTTACTTCTGTAAACAAATACTTTCCAGTCCATGTCTTGTTGAAAACGCTGCATTCGGCATCAACTTTTCTTTTTTTGGCGTGAGTTGACATTATGAGCTGGCCAACATCACCTGTCTCTCACCCAGTAGGTCAGGGATCTTAAGTTCACCTGTGAACTTTTTTCATTCATGTTCTGATTTGATGGACCTCACGCGGGCCGGACAGGGACGCTCAAAGGGCCGGATGTGGCCCGCGGGCCGTAAAATGCCCAGGTCTGGTGTATAGTGTAGTGTGCATACACATCTAGCCTACACAGGCTACCTAAATACAGATAGATACATCACAGCAGGCTACACAACTAGTCAGAAAACCTGTTTTCCCAGCACTCCCTCTTCCCACCCTGGTCACAAAATATTTTCCTGAGGAATTTCTAATATAGCCCTACAATATGTCCAGTATATATCTAATATAGCCTACAGTATAAAAGAATATGTAAGACTAAATTAATGTTAAACAAAAACAAGCAACAGTCAAACCTTCTGGTGTCGTGTTCAACAGTACATTTGCTAGTTGTGATATTTTACCAAATGATGTCCTGGTGAAATGCAGTCAGTGGTGTGGTCATCCAACAGAAAAACACACTGAATGAGACAGGGTGTCCACAGGTTCCATTGGCACTGTGTATAATCTCTGCAAACCTTGATGGTATCTGTATGAGTCCTGTTTCATTTTTTCTGATAAATACTGTATCCTGTACTACAATATCTAACAGACGTTGATCTGTTAGTCACTTTGGTCCAGACTGAAATATTTACAGACATTCATGGTTCCCAGAGGATCAATACTCACTTTGGTTATCCTCTGACATCTCCTCTCCACAATGTCTGACCTCATCTGTCAACCTGTCCATCACCATAGCAAACAAGAAGGGACTCAAAGCCGATCCTTGATGTAGCCCCACCTCCACCTTGAACTCCTCTGTCTGACCTACAGCACATCTCACTACTGTCGTACTCCTCTCATACATATCCTGAACTACTCTGACGTACTTCTCTGTCACTCCTGACATCCTCATACAGTGCCATAGCTCCTCTCTCTGTCGTACGCATTCTCTAAATCCACAAAGACACAATGCAGCTCCTTCTGACCATCTCTATACTTCTCCATTAACATTCTCAGAGCAAAAATGGCATCAGTAGTGCTCTTTCTGGGCATGAAGCTGGGTTTAATTGGAATACTGCATTAAATACTACACAAGTACTTTCACATTCACCTTTAAAGACTTATTTACTTATTTTCAGTTTGATAAAGTCACTCCAGGGGTTTTCTTGGTGAAACCGTAATTATTTGGAACATACAGGTATCTCAAAAGTAAAAATGATATGATTTTTATTTTGAACCAAACGTTTCTTAGCTGTGTTTGATTTTGTACAGAGTTTGTAAATGCTTCCCCTGCTTGGTGAAAATTCTCTCACGGGGACAGTGGTGGCTACCATACACAAAACCCTGCCACTTGATAAGCGATGAAGCGTTTTTAGGGTTTTTCTTACTGTACATCTGCACACGCCTCGGAGCCGCGGTGTCATAGGTAACATCGGTAGATTACGTCGCCCCCTGGCGGATGTAGTTGAGTAACTTCATGGTGGCCAGCTGAACATACTGAGCACTACCGGTGTCAAACACAAGCGGTGGAAATTATACTAACCCTTTACGTTTTTGCTGATATTGTACATTTCAGCACAGCAGTGTTCGTTTCTCACGTCGTAAGGTAATGTATCCTGACTTCACAATATTCTGTACTAATTGTTCGCACGGCCAGTGTGTGTTAGCATGCTAACAGCTCGCTAGCTACCTGCAGGCCCCGCTTGGCTCATGGTTTGTTTTTCCGCTAGCTGGCCTTTTCATCCTTTTTAATATGACTAGCTAACAAGCCGACAGTGGTGCACAAGACCTTTAGCAAACAACAGACGTGATCCCTGCCTGTAGGTGGACTCCTATTAGCTTTCCTCCGGGTTATCGGGTCATTCTGGGTGTGACTTCATTTTGTTAATCGTATAGTGTATGTGATGTAGCGGCCGTCACCCAGCTGCCGTGTATCCCTTGCATGTTAAGACCGTGATATGCAGCTCCGTTAAAATATACCCAAGGCCTACCTTTTTTTTTAAACTTAAGCGCACATACCTAACATATACACAGAGCTCGATAATGTTTATTTATTTTTATCTTACAAATGAGTATCTGACCACAGTTGCTGCCCCGCCCATCAGGTGTAGTTACTTTTTAGGAGCTTTGGTCAAGATACTTGCAAATACTACCGTTTCATTTTATGTTATTAACGTAGTGACTCCTACCCAAGATATGAATCATCTTCAGCTAAACACTAAATAGATCAAATGACTGATGTTCACTAAATGTTACAGTGTCTCTGAGAGTTGCAGCCCTGCATTCCAAAAAGGAAGACGAGTACTTCACCATGAGCTCAGACGATGGTGAGACAACACACACACACAAACCTCTGTTCCGTTTCCAAGGCAGTCAGACAGTGTATGATGTTTTAATGTCCTGTTTGGTGACCGCAGGTGACCTGGAGAACCAGGCTGAGGTGGAAGAGAAGACAAGACTCATCAACCAGGTGCTGGAGCTTCAGCACACTTTAGAGGGTATGACACAGACACACACACTTTGTATTTTTTACAAAGTCAGACAGTCAGACTGTGTCTGTTCAGAATGGCGCCTGAAGAGGAACAGCACAAGCCATCTCTGGGAGACACTCCGGAAAAGGTCAAATCATGTACAGTATTGTCACATGCACAGTGAAGAGCGGACAGAATAAAGCATCCTGTATAGTGAGATGGGTTTGGATGAGGCCAGGGGTAATGGATTGGTTCAGCCGATCAGTCTGATGGCCTGAAGATAAAAACTTAGACTAGCAGTCTTGCACTTCACATTCCTGTACCTCCTGCCAGAGGGCAGAAGTGTGAACACCGTGTGTTGGGGGCAGGTGGGCTCTGTGGTGATGATGTAGGCTCTTTTTTGGACTGGGGTTATTCTACAGTGGTGGTAGGGGTGACCTGACACTCTTCTTAGCAGTCTTGATTATTATTTGCAGGTGTTTACGGCCGTGGCAATGCAGATCTCATAGTACACAGTGATGCAGCTGGTTAAGATGCTCTCTATGATGCAACTGTAGATCTTTGGTGACTTGGCGACAGTGGTGCGGTGGGTAGAGCAGTCGTCTCCCAACCGGAAGGTTGAAGGTGCCTGCAGCCCACATGTTGAAGTGTCCTTGGACGAGACACTGAACCCCCTGTTGCCCACAATTGTTAGAGCTATTGGTTGAGTTGGCGCTGCAGATGGCTGCCTTGGTTCTGTACTGGAAACAAATTCCTTGTGTGTAACATACTTGGCCAATAAAGGTGATTGTCCTTATCCTCCTTGCCAAATTTCCTCTCTCCTTAAAAAAATACATCTTTTGTGCTTTCTTGACCAGCTGAGTGATGTTACATGTCCAACTGAGGTCATCACTGATGTGAACTCCCAGGAATTTAAAGCATTAGACCCTCTCCACCTCAGACTTGCAGATTGTCAGTGGTTGATGATGTCAGTGGTTCCCTTATTCATGTCTACCATCATCTCCTGTGCTGGGAGAGAAGCTGTTGCCATCGCACCATGTCACCAGACTTGCCACCTTTTGGATGTGTGCCGTTTCCTCACCCCCAGTGATCAAACCGGTGACTGTGGTGTCGTCTGCAGTTTTCAGGGTAGTGTAGCCTCTGTGTGACTGTGGTCTGCCAGGGAGGAATTCTAGCAGCTAGTGACAGAGTGTGGGGTTCAGACCAAGGTTGTGCAGTTTGCTTAGTTTGTGGGGGAGGACTGTATTAAAGGCTGAACTGTAGTTGATAGGAGTCTGGGACAGGTGCTTTCAGATGGTCTGTGTTTTTTCATCATGATGTGAGAATTTCCTTTTTTTTTTTTAAGATCAAACACAATACCTTTATAACCTCTGTATACTTGCAGTATATAATGTTGCTGTTGTGTGTTTTTGGGTGTTCAGACCTGTCTTCCCGTGTGGATGCGGTCAAAGAAGAGAACCTGAAGCTGAAGTCGGAGAACCAGGTTCTGGGTCAGTACATCGAGAACCTCATGTCTGCCTCCAGTGTCTTCCAGACCACTGACACCAAGAGCAAACGGAAGTAAGGAGAACCTCGGACCTTGACCTAGACCCCCCCACAAACACACACACACAAACCCAGTTTCTAATCTGAACCCCAAAACTGATCCCAAACCAACCTGGATGACTGGACTTTGGTAATGATCATGGACTTTTTAATGCTGTCTAAGCTTAAAACATGTTTCTCATTCTGCAGTTAGGGTGTTAGTGGGCACTCAGACTGCTCCAGCAAAAACACAGCTCCCTGTTGTGCTTTAACGCACCAGGCTGCGTTGGTCGGGAGGTGAGGGGTTGCAGGGGGAGTGTTGTAGGAGTGTAGGATACGGCCATGTTGTGGTGAGCCGAACTGAGTGGCTTCATTTGCATTTTCAGCCTGTGAGTTTCTGTTGTGTTTTGGTTAGCCATGCTGCTAATGGATCCTCCTCTACCTTAGCACCAATTCTACCACCAGTGTGCTGGCATTGATAGATAAAAAACAGAGTTTGACATCCAGGCCTCACGAAAATGCATGGTGTGCCATTATGGTGCGTTAACTGTGGCCCAAATTCGACAGTGAGGAATCGTGAATGCTCATGCTAACAAGGTAAACAAAAGAGTGTTCTGCCTGTAGGCGTAGGCGTCCACGTCCCAGTCGTCCCCTGTATGTGATTGGTCAACACAGCACCGTTGCTGGATGATGTCTGATACAGATCCAACTTTTTCACTGAATGGGGCTTCATTGTTTTGCTGGCGCCGGCTGTGATGAACACAATGCCCCGCAGAAATGGATCGGGAGGCTGCTCTTTTTCCACACCTTTGAAACTCAGCCTGAACATGGTCTTAGTCATGTTCTGAATGTGTGCACAAGGTGGCAGTGTTGCATTGGTCAAATCACATTGTACAGAAAATGAAAAGAGAGCGCCCACTGAAACCGGTTTCATTCACGAAAACAGATCTGCAGTTTTATGAAGATCAGCAAATAAGCACCACAGGATTTTCAGCCAAAGCTGAATACACTACATGAGTTGTGGTAACGCTAAATTTCTTTCTCATGTAAGCAAAGATGCATCTTTTCAGAAACATGTTTTAACCTTTTGTCAAATGAAATGCTGACACTTCTAGATTCGTATCTAACTTCACATCCCAGGACCCTGACATACCGACAGCAGGACCACAACAGGCTCACAGATGTGCAGTTCTCAAAGCCATCCAGCTGCACAGTGACTGGACAGCATGTCAGAATGACAAGGCTAATAACAGACAGTAGTTTGGCCAAAGGGTCCCCACTGTGGAACAAGCTGCTGTGTTTGAACCACATTGTGTAAACTGTGGTTATTGGCTATAAAACTGAAATTCTGGCTAACTACAGCATGTTTAAATTGTATGGTGGTTATTTTGTGCTATAAATTAAAAGAGAACTAGCACTAAAACTAAAGACAAAAACAGAGCACAAGGATGAAGAACTGATGCTAACAAAGGACAATGTCCTGATAGTATATAGACAGAGATTTTCTGGATTCAGAAAAAAAGTCACTTTCCAAAAACCACCAAAATTATTAAGAAGTAAATTTGTATGCTACATTTGTCCTTGCACTTCCAAAGGACTTGTACCACACGTCACTCTTATTTTTGTATTTGCAGTTTTGTTGCTATAATAGTTTAGCTGTTTCTGCTTATGATCTCTCTAAAGAGAGGATCTAAAAGTCTGTTTGGAAATTTCCACTCTTTAACATGTGAGTACGCTGTTAGCAAAAAAAAAAAAAAAAAGAGCACATTGTTAGTTCTGGATAGCAAACATAAGATAGAATTGCAAAGAGAAAAGCTAACAGCAGCAGTAGTGCTCACCGGGCCACACAAAGTTCGCCCTATAGGACATGAAAAATGACCTGTGTCTAACTTGTATCCAGAACATCAATGGGCAATATGGGTTAAAGAGCACACAAGCCCCACCCACACAAGTGCTGTTAGCATGAAAAGTTAGCTTGATGTTAAAATGTGGATATGATATTATAGCAGTGATCATAGATTGTGACAAATGTATGGAATATTTATACAATAGCTATAAACAGCTGGTAACTGTGTGAGCTGTCTAACCTTAAAGCAGGTGTTTCTCCCTCACCAGTCCCTGTGCTGACCATCCAGTGTATGAAAATCCCCAAGGCTTGGACCACATTGCTACATGCTAACTGCTAATTGTGCACTGAGCCTACAGGGGTGTTTTCCCCTTGGCATATTTAACATTGTCCTGCATTACATTTGTAGTTTGTGCAGTTAATGATAAGACTCCCCCACTAGCTGGCTGTGTATCAGAGGAGACATGTTGACAACGGACCCCCCTGCCCCTTTTCCTTTTATTTATTAGTCAGTATTGCTGCTGTTCCTACAGGAAGAGTAGATTTTAGAATGAGGATTTTGTTATTGTCCATTTGGAAATTCTTTGCCATTTCAATGCAATGTTACTTTTTGTTGCCATTTTGTTGCTGCTTCTCACAAGTTGGGAGTAAATAATGCTAGTTAAACAGTGATTGTTACTGTTAACAGGTTACACCCAAGTACCACAATGTGTCAGTTTGATTTGAAGCTCTCAGTCTGTATGCGCTTACTGATAAGCTGGCGAAGCCCAGCCTCTCAGTGAATAACTGACAGATATGCATACTGTATTTTATGGATAAATGTTGATGAAACATCATCTGTGAAATATCTTTAACCCTGTTGCATTTGTACATCATTAACATATAATTTTATTTTGCCATTTGTAATGACTTTAGTTTAATAAAGTGATGATCCTTTTGATGAGATGTTTGGACTAATCCTCTGTTTCAGATTTCATATACTCACAGGGTCACTAAGGGTCACTGCTTGCAAGGCAGGTGACGAAAAAAGGTCATTGAGTTGGAGGAGACGTAATGACTGCAGATGGATAGACACTGGTTCAGTGATTCTACAGTGAGGGTCCGTTATACTGAAGAGGTCCTGGTTTATCCAAAATATCTTAAAACCTAACTGTTTGTTGCTGTGAAGTTTAATAGACGCTGTTAAGATGTTTAGGAAACTGGGTGTCACAGTAGAGCTTGGGTACTACCTGATCTATGGCACAGATACCAAAATGAACATTTTTGATAGTGCTTTGAGAAATAGTGGCATATTTTACTTCTTGGATTTAAAATAGGAACTGTCTGATCTAAGACTAATACATCCAGGTTATGAATCTGACATAAATGGACAACTATCAACATGCCTGGCATGTTTTTATACAGTGCTATGGATGCATTTTTGTTGATGCAGAACAAGTATTGAGATTCTAAAATATATAAGTACATAAAAAATGTGTTCTGACACTATCAGCATGTTAGATATGGATGTTGCTTAAGAGGCTCTTTTGCTGTGGCAAAGGTTTAAAGGATGTGTTATTCTGCATTATTCTTATTATCAATAAGTACCTCCATCCCCCCACCCACCCCCAGCATGGGCTGTTCCCACCTCTACCCTCAGGCCAGAGGTTCAGAAGTGTGAAATGCAGGACTACTAGACTGAAAAACTCTTTTCTTTCCTACTGCCATCAGACGCCTAAACAGCTGACAGGGGTTTACAATCAGGAATTGCTTCATGTAGTTGCACCTGTACTGTTTACATGCACAACTGCACATGCATAGTTGCACACCCACAATACTTTTTGACTTTTCTCTGGGGCTCTCAGGTGAAAGCCCATTGGTTTCTACTGAATACGAAAAATTTAAAAGTACCTCGTAAACACATAATTTTACTTTAACATTAACCTTCCCCCCAAACAGGGGGAAATAGGGGTTTTTTTTTGGGGGGGGGGGGCTATTTTCAATCATTTCACATCTATCTAGTATCTAGTGACTGTCTGGCAGCAGAACAGTGGGCGTGAGTCAAAATAAACTACAGTGTGTGTTCATGGTATTGAAGGAACATGCCAGCAAATGGAGCTATACAACATACAGTATATCAAGCGTTCGTTAGTTTGGGTCTTTTCATGGGATTTGTTGACACACATACAATATCACAGTTGCATGTGTATGGATAAAACTCCACAGCTTTGCCCAGTGTTTGACTTTAAAACCGGTCTAGTTGGTTGTTAGGCACAACTTCTCTATTCATTATCACAACAATGAAACCAATTTGACTATTGTTAGTACTTTGAGAACTTGTTTTGCAGTGTTGGATTTCATGTAAATGCAGGCAAAAAAGCTGAAATTAAATACTCTAAAGATGAGAGAGTAATTGATGTACTGTATCTTCTTTATTTCTCAACCCAAAAATTGTGTAATAAATTGCTCACTGAAGGTCTCTGCTGTTTTTACAATGAGTGGAGTGGCTGTAAATAGCTACTATGACGCAGCAACGTGATCAGTTCACGATTCCCTTTCATAGTTTACAAGTCAGCCTGGTTAATATTGCTCTATGAATCGAAAGTGACCTGAGTCTAGCTCAGAACAAACAATAACACTGTGGTTCCTTCCCCACAGGTACAGTCAATCATCATGTCTTCCTCGTTTATTTACAGTCCCTGTAGTGTCCAGCAGGGGGAGCAGTGTGTTCAGGTGACACATAGGAGGCATCCGGTGTATGTGCGTGAGGCTTCCTCTTTTTTGTGGTCATCAAACTTGAATGAAGATCTGATAGACAGGAACAAGAGTGACTGTTAAGCACTATGAGCTGTTAAAAGACCACAATACAAGTTGATACATGAAAGTGCAGGAAAAAACCAGGACCAGTCAATTCATGAACAAACGTTCAGTTTTCAACTTTTCACTTGCTTCATTGCTGCTGATGCCCACATATTAACTATCTTCAACACAAGTCTACTTGTAGGCAGTCATTTGGATAGAAAATGTTTAATAAGTAGCAAACTGTTTCAAAAAAAGAGATTTTATTTAAACCCATACCTACACAGGTGAAAGCTGGGTGGAGATTTACTTGGAAATGTGTTTATCAATCGTTATATTTCCTGTTTGACACAATGCCCATTTGTGCTCCATTAACAAAAGATACAACAGCACGTGCCAGCTGTTCCATAACAAGCTAACTGATTCAGACGAATACTGTTCCATAGGCACCGGCTGCATCAACCTGCCCAGTGTTTGTTTGTTTGTTGTGTCTAGTTGCTTTTCTTTTCTCTCTCCTCTATCTGTTCACTGGCACTATACAAATAAAGGCTAATTAGATGTGGTAGTTGTTTTCATTGTGCTGTCTTTGCCAACACTTACAAGTTGTAGGGAGATGACATAGACTGATGTCAACCTCGTCTGTCTGTTCAGCACTGAACTGGAGTCAGGATGTGCGCTGTGCATTCACCTCACACTCAGGAAACAGGCAAGCAAACACTTGCCAAACTGTTGATGAGAGTTAGAGCAGTTTAATATGCTCCATTCGTAATATGTTTTTCAGTTCGCTTTAAAATAATTCATCTTCACCAAGAACTGTCATCACGCCTTCGGCCACACTACCTGCTGCTTCTAATCATCATATGAAATCTATACATAGAGTCCGTGTCAGTCGTGCTGCCTAGTGTGCCATCTGCACTCTGTGTGAAGCAGATTATCAGCTCTTGCCTCTGTGCGGCACACTGGCTCAGCCAAATGGAGCGCAGCCAGTGACAGAGTGATCAAGACTAGTTTGCACTCACCCACAAACACTTGAGAAGAATTTTCAACAGCCAAAACACATGAAAACACCTGTGGCTTTGATGGTACTGAACCAGTGTAAAATGATACAGCACATGATCAGTTCTAGCAGAAGAACTAGCTTCTCTGTTCCCATGTGAAGAGGATGTGGTAAGACCAGCAGATGACTGTGTGATCCTCTGACCGATTTAAAGACAGTTCCTGTCTATATTTGGTTTAAATATTAAACTTTATCAGTGTACTGACAAAACTATACCACTAAAACCCTTTTAGTAGTCAAATATCTGTGGCATTACTGAGTTTAATGCTGCTATCGCGCATATGTACTGTGGTGTATGCTAATATGTTAGCATGCTCAGAGTGGTTGCTTTATGCACCTCAGAAACAGCACGTGTATGTAACTGGTTGTCCATCAGTGCACTGAGAGATTTTAAATATTAAACATCATTCACAGTGCACACAAACACAGGTGAAAACACACTTAATATACACAAGCTGTCAGGACAGACCTCACTAATCAGAGCCCAGACATCAGAGTTGGAGTGAACCACCAGGCGTAGTGCTGAGATCGGCTGCAGTGCTTCTCCAATTGTACCCTCAGCTACTCCATCCTCAAATGCACCTGAAACACACAAACACACACTACTAGGCCTTTATGTGCTTTTGTAAGGGTGAAAAACAATTTAGAAAAGGAAGTTTAAATTTTATTATACTGCTTTTACATTGTTAAAGCTTTTTTAACAAACATCATTTTGTTAATAGTACACATTCAATGCTTAAATCATCTGTCAATCAACACCACCCCATTTGAAAATGTCATCTCTGACATGTTAGATTTTGGAAAAAACAAATCAGTGGGTCTTATTTACCAACATCTTCCTAAGTGTTTTCATAAACTTGTTCTTGTTCTTAACCCTTCTGTTATGTTCATTTCTTGAACATAACCCTTCAGCTAATTACATAATATAATAACATAAAGAGCCCATGGCATGCTTTTCCTTGTTTTTTTTTTGACTTATCTGCATTGTTACAACGGTGAATTATCATCTAAGACATGACCTAAAGCTCAAAAAAATGAGGTGTACATAGGTTCTAGTACTTCAATGCAGAAGCGACTCGGTTTATACAGATCTCACAAACTCTCGCTCACGAGACTTTTTTTCTAACAATATAAAGTATTACATGACAAGGATTTCCATGAATGGTCATAACCTCCAGGCAGTTGCACGTTCATGTGAGCTTGCCTGACATTCACCAGTGCCATTGTAAACACAGAATTTTTAGACTGCGCCTGGTTTTGTGGATATATTTTCCCTCCTGCT